GCGTAATTGAGAATGTTTCATGGAGGGGGATCAAAATAAATTTGTATGGCGAATTTGTGGGGCAATGCTTTTGAAATTCAGTATCACAATTTAGTCTATTTTTTAATACAATGATAATATCTTCAGCAAGGTTAACAGTCAAGGGTCGGCAACCTTTTGAACCACGCGGGCCATATTTTTTTTTCAAATGTTTATCAAGGGCCGCATTAAAAAAAATTTTTACATATGATATATACTAATAATTGTGTTGCTATTGTATTTGATTATTTTACATAGAAATACTAGTGTAAAAAATACGAATGTTACTAGAAAAAATTGAATTTTTTTACAAATTAAACTAAATTTAAATTTAATTAAACAAATTAAAATCAACCCAAGAATTATTAAAAAAACGATGTTCATCACCATTTTTTTCTTTTTTTAGTCGTCATAATGTTTGGATTTACTTGTAAAATGGAACTATTACAAACGCAAACAGTCACACGTACGGGCGAATTCACGGTGTAATACTAATTGCTACAAACGCAAAGTAATTATGCCCATAGATTAAATATATTAGATACATATGTATTACATACATAGATTAAATATATTTAAAATTTTAATATTTAAATATATATAAGTATATTTAATTTATCCTATGACTGAGTAGTGCAGCCATCATGATCTTCGACTCCGATTAGATAATAATAACAATTTTATAGATTAAACTGACTATATATCTATGTAGGATAAATATCAAATATTAACGATTAGATCAGATTTTATTTATATCGAAAAAAGAATTGAATAGTATTGAAAATTGTATGAAAAATTTTATTGAACAAAAATAAAACACAAAAATTAACCACCTTTGTGCGGGCCATAAAAAATGGCTTCGTGAGCCACGGGTTGCCGATCCCTGCATTAAGGGATTGATATTGCTTTTTACTAATATTGTTATAATTGGCGATATATATGTATATAATTTTAAAGGCATTTTAATATTATTAATATGCAAATTAATAATTTTAATTTTAATTTAATAAATTATTAAAAAAATAAATGTTTGATGTTTTTTCATTTTTATATTTCGTCACCGTTCACAGCACTCCATACCTCTTCCACTTATATACCACATCCTTACACACTTATATTAAATTAGTTATTTTTTCTTAGCAAAATATTCTCTAGAAATAATTTATATGACAAAACAACGTTTGTCGGGTCAACTAGTATTTATATGTATATATGTAATTCAAATACCACTCAATAACTGATCGCTAAATCTCAAGAAAAACCAAACATATGAACTTGAATTTTGACATAGAAGTTCCTCTAATATACTAAATTTGCAGTGGTTTTTGGAAAATTGTATTTTCAAAAATCGATCGGTTTTGTAGTACTGGATATGTTATAAACTTTTTCATTTTTTGGTTACCTAAGTAATATATTATTTAATATATTGATTATAATAATTACCGATTAAAGTATATGCAAAATACAGAAAAAAGTAGAGACAATATGTTGTTGCGGCAATGGACCTAAAATACCTGTAAAAAGCCAAAGAAGGTATATGTAAATTATAATAGTATCATTAGAATAAACAGTTGTGCGCTTTTTTCAACAGAGATGTTTTTTATTTTACATTAAAATAATAATTGTTCTCTTCTAAAGTAATACAATATCTCGCGGGCAAAGCCGAGTAGTTAAACTAGTTAATTTACTAAATAATAGGCGTGTCTACCGATCGAAAACTTATAAAAATAATTTCAAGGAAAAAGCCATTTAAAATATAATATTCTTAAGGTATGCAGAAATGTACACGACTGATGAGAGATATTCCTTCAAGCCCAAAACTTTAATTTTTTACGCACATAATGGAACGAAAAAAAACCTATTTAAATATTCTAAACCCATCCTAGATGGAAACATTTGTAATAAGCTATTTCGATTATTACAGTTAAGCGAACGAGATGGACACAATAATGTGATTTGTTCTCTGTAAGACAGTATAAAAATGACAAAAAAAATAATGAAGACATAAAACTGTTATTCCAAGGGAAAATACACTTCTACGATTTTTACGTGTGTACGGCGTCGGATTCATGATTTCAATCGAAATACAAATTTGTTTCTAATAATTGTAAGCAGTTCCGAGAATGCGTTCCCTTTGTGTTGTCAATTCTTACAGTGATTCGCTAAGGAGAGCTCTAACAATTATTATTGACGTTAATAGGGTAATTTATTGTACACTGACTAAACGTCCTTAGTATAACGTATAAGTAAGCATAAGTATAACGTTATACTGAACGCCAACGAATACGATAATTGACGCGTGCTTACGTGATAAAAGAAAACGGCAAGGGTATATGAAAAAAAAGACCCTCGAAAAATGATGCATTAAGTACTTTTGTCCCTACAATTTTCCATATTCAAAAATAGGAACCCATAGGTACTTATTGCTGGTTAATGAATACTCGCTCGGGTTTAAATTCCTTAATAAACAGTGAAAAATGTTCTAAAAAAAAAAGTCAAAAATGTCTCATAAAATTGTTTTTATTAGGTATTTAGCTTATAATTCATAAAAACAATAATTTTCTTAACATTTACTTTGAACAAATTTAAAAAAAAATTGATCAAATACGGTGACGATGATGTTGACTGAAATTATCTTCAGATTTAAATCGGTTAAATTAAAATTATTCAGCTGTTAAATGTATAAATATGCATTTAAATATACAAAATTATCAAAAAATGTTAAGATACTTTAATAATTAGAAAAATCAGAAAATATAAAAAATTGAAAAATAAGAGTTTTAACGTTGAAGCTTTTATTATGTGAAACGAATTACGTACATGGAAAGTGATTTTTAAGATCATCTAAAAAAAAAAATATGCGCATTACATTGAAATCTAGGCCCTATATAAATTACAACTTAATATTACTATACAATTTTTGTAATCCTGTTTTATTGATCATACCTCCAACACATTCAATGTCGGATTGGAGCTTGCAGTCGAGCTGATAGTGAAAAATTCCGGTGGACTATCGGCACAATTTACAAAAATAATTATAACATTTCCAAGTGAAATTTATTCCGGACGAATGTTTATCAACAGAGCCGTCTTAAGGATTTTTAGGGTCTAGAGCAAATTTAATTCGGAGGCCCTACAATCATCAAAATAATATACGAATATGATAAAAAAAATACACACCAAGTTTGCAAAATGTTGGTAATTATAGTTTTCTAAAATTCAACCAATCAAGGTCATTTAAATGTATCGAAATATAATGAATTATATTTTTAATAACTTCTCAACAATGCATTATCAGCTAATATTTTTTATAAAAAATTAAACTTATTCCTGATAATTTATAAACAGCCATTGAAAACAAGATCTTGTATGTTGTCAAATCGATACTCGTGATAGCGCATTTCTACGTAAATTTGGATAAAATTATGTCATTCTTCACACTTGGGCAACAACCATAATAGATGACAGTTATAACCAGACGCGTACAGAAGGAGGGGTTTTGGAGGTTCACCCCCCCCCCCCCCCAACCGTCAATCAAAAAAATTATTCTATATGTTTTATAGAGTAAAAATGGTATGTAAATTTCTAATCCTATGGTTGGTAAATCTCCCAAAATTATTTTTTTGTGTACGCACCTGGTTATAACTAATTAGAAATTAGAATAACTGAAAATGTGGTCTACATAATATCCCTGAAATATAAATTTAATTTAATTTTTTTTTAATGTATTAATATTTCATGAAGAAAAATAGTTTAGGAATAATACATTTATATCAATCATCTCTGAAGGGTAACACTGAGTATTTCTAATCAATCTGGACTTTAAGGGACCCCTTTTAAATTTTCCTAGATTGGGACTTGGGATAAAATGGTCCCCTTGCCCCCCCCCCATTAACGACCCTGTTGATCAAAACATTGATTTACAACTATAATTATGAGTACCTTTGTAAATTATGTAATACGTATTTTTTACAATTATGAACAACAAACCAAAAAAAGATCATTTGTTTTATTGTGCTTGTACACAAGGTCTTATAATGTATTACCGAGTAGCAAAAACATCTTACCACCCTAATCATCAATTTGTTCTTAAATTTTTTTATTAATTTGATATCACTTTTTTTCCGGTAATACAATCACTATTTAAGAACTTGGAATTTTAATTATATATTTATAAATAAATATTTATTGGTATGGAATCTTCAAACGTAAATTAAGCTCCAAGAATATATTACTTATGTATTACATTAGGTGTACAATATAGTTTCGACTAAAATAATTGAATACTCAAAATAATCATTTATCACTATGTGAATATTAATTCGTAGTTTTAGTATAATCACGTTATAGCTTACAATTTTTTTTTTTTTTACATTTTTTTCCCTTAGAAACCTATTCCTGTAAATTGACGTTATAAAAAGAAAATGAAATCCAAAATTGTCGCGAATGATAAGTTTTAAAGTTATAATGATTTGAAAGGCTTGACTTGATTTGAACAGGTTTAAAGCCATTATAACAAAATATTGTCATGAAAATTATACATCAAATAAGAAATATTTAAACAATAATTAAGTTATAGACATTTACAAAGATAAATATATTAATGCTATATTCATATTGATTCAAAGTACTTATACTTGATAAGATGTGTGATTGATTTGTTAAAAATTGGTCAATAATAAATGTACAGTTTACAAAATATAAAAATATTCAAAAATCATTAAAGGATAGCAGAAACAAAAATAAAATAAAATAGTTTTATTTTAATAATATAAATATTTTACTATCTAATTGATGTAGTACAAATTGCACAACAATAACATAATAATGTAGTCAATTGACCATTAATAAAAAAAGGAAACACTAGAAACATAGAAATAAACAATTTAAAAATAAATAAAATTACTACCAGTTTTTGTTTTATAATCATTTGGATTTTGCAATCATAGCGATTAGTGATGTTATCGAATAGAATGAGAAGGTTTTAATCATAATAAAAATGTCAGTTAAGCTATTTACTTGCAGAGCCAAATGAATCGAATCGAGTTATCATGTTACAATATAATTTGGATTTATATCTATTTACAATAATTATATGATTTTCATAATACATAATATGCATCATAATGCATTACTTTATTTACATTTTACGACACACAGCCTTTTGAACCCTACATAATAGGACGAAAACTAAACTCTCTATGGCACCATTTATTTGTGAACCATATGAATTAGTTAAAGTTGAACTTAAACGTAAATGGGCTTCCGTGGAATTGATGGAACTGTTGAAATGGATTGAAACCTTCTTGGTGATGACGACCAGATTCAGGATCAAGTGGATCAATACCTCGGTCGAATTGTTCACGTTTTTCTGATAAAGCACAGAAGAATTTATTATAATTTATTTATCACACAATTAAATAAATCAATTAAATTACCAGGATCAGTCAGTACTTCTTTTGCTGAAGCTATTTCAATAAACCTTTTTTCCGCATTCTTTTTAGCTTCTCCTTGGAAATTATCAGGATGCCATTGTTGAGCTGCTTTTCTACAAATTAATAATATTTTTATAAATATATTATATATATATTTTTATTAATAATATTTTTAAATAATGTTATGGTTTTCATGATAATTTGTTATTTATAATGACATACCTGTAAGCTTTAATGATTTCTTGTTTAGTAGCAGTTCTTTTTACATTTAATATTTTATAGTAATCTTTTCTTTCAGCTTGTTTTTGCAATTTCTTGGCTTTTTTCAATCCTTCATTAGCTTGTCTATGATCCTGTTCAATATGTATTGCATGTTCAAAATCTCTAATAGCTAAACATCAAATAAATAAGAAATTAGGTAAATAATATTTGTTTTTTTTTCTAACCGTCCTAAATATTACTATTTAAAAACTTTTTTTTTATTAATACAATTATAAAAAAAAAAAATTAATATAATGAGCATAGATTTTTATTGCTTACATTTAGTTACACTGAAGTTCTATAATTATATCCACTAAATTAAGAAATACACTAATACATTTTGTAAATTGTGATGTCAAATTTCGACAGGATTACATTATTTAAAAACTCTTAAAAAGCTAACTAACTCTTAAAACTCTTTAAAAGCTTTTGTTTGAAATGTTAATTTAAATTTGATAGTGGAAGGATAATAATGTTACATGAGTTAATTGTTATTAATATTCATAAATACAAACAAATTATTCAATTTACATTATTTTTAAAATGTCATTTAATTTGAATACACTGAATTAGTTATGTATGGCTTATAATGGAAAAGAGGAAAAGGAAGACCAAATAAAGAGATGGTTAGATACAATTGAGAATAATATGAGGGTCGTTGATGTATGCATAAGGGATATAGAAAATCTAGACCAGTAGCGGTTTAGGACAATGGTAGCCGACCCCAAATAGTTGGGAAGAGCGAGGGAGAAGAAGATGCCTTATGATAGTTTAAAAATTACATAAACTTTAGTATTTTTAATATAAGTTTATTTATACCATTTGGCAATAATTGTTTGAAATATATAACTATAATAGATCACAATTAACAGAAATAACTTAAATTAATTTTTGATTTCTTCAAATGTATTGTAATAAATCTATCTACATCAAATAATTATTTTCTCTCCATCAAATTCAAATTATCACAACTCAACTATTTAAATATATTTATACTTCATACCTTCATCAAACATTGAATTTGCTATGTATCCTTCTGCTCTAAGACAATAGAGATCAGGTGTTGGAGTTATGTCTAATGCTTCACTACAGTATTTCAATGACAATAATGGTTCATCTGTATGTTGATAACTTTGACATAATTTTTCTAAGGCTAAAAACCTTACTTTTTCTGATTCTTTTTCTAAATCTAATATCTAAAATTGAGAAAATATATAATTAAAACCAATATTTATACCATATGTCAGCTAATATTATAAAACAACACTAAATGTTTAAGATGCTTACTGTCTTACTCTCTACAACAGACAATATAGAAAAATATAATAAAAAAAATATAGAATATTTTCCTTATATCAATCATAATACAATTTTATAATCAAATTAGAGTGGATTGATAATTTTATGAACAAATTAAAGAAATTTTAATAAAGAAGGACTAAAATATTGTATAAAATTACAAGACTAAAAGTTAAAGAACTAAGTTTTAGAATTTAAAAAAAAAAAATCAATATTACCTTCTTTGAAAATTGAATACTACTAGCAAAATCTTTAATATTGATTGCAGACTGGCTATCTACTACTAGCCTTTCAATTTTTTTAACAATTTTGTAATGTGAATGACATTGTTTATGATCTGCATCTAATTTTAAACATTCTCGAATCTCTCTAAAAATCAATTTAACATAATTATCCAACATGATTAAAATAAGTTATACATTAAGATATAATTACTTAAGTGATTCAGTCACTTCTCCAATGCTGTAATAAAGTTTCGACAATTTATAATGGCCATCAGTATTGTCAACTTGGAGTTTAGTGGCAGTTCGTAAGTCCATAATAGCATGTTGCATATTTCCAGAACTCATGTATAACTCTGATCGCTGTTCACGTAATGCAGGAGCCCATGGACAATACTCAATGAGACGATCCAATGAATCAATTCCACTCTTATAGTCTTTATTTTCTTGATAATAAGTAGCTAACTCCATATCATAAGCAAGACCATCAAGTTTAGAATATAAATCAAATGCTTCATGAGAAAAATCACCATTGGAAATGTACTAAAAATATATTTATATTTCTTTAGTAAAAATAGTAGTTACTACTATATAATTAATTACTATTACTAACAATAGAAAAATAGGATTAAACTTTAGTACTCACAACATTATATAATTCTTTTCTTGCTTCTTCAAGTGAAGCCTGTTTCATGAGGACAACACCTCTTTGATAACGTGCCTAATCAATTTAAATTAAGATTTTACAAAATATAAACATTTATTTATTGTTTTTGAACTAACAAAATAATAATTATTTATACTTACAGCAGTAAAATCTGGTTTAAGTTCAAGAACTTTACCAAAATCTATTAACGCAAATTTAGCTTTTCCTAAAGCTAAATAAACTGTTCCTCTTTTAAAATATGTTAAATAGTTATCTGGATCACCCTCTATAAAATATAATATATTATGATAGTGAATAATTTAAGTTTTATAGAAAGAATAGTTTTATACAAATAATTAAACATTTATAGTTAATTATTATAAATCATCAAGTAGGTAGTCGAAATATTTAAAAATTTTAATTTATTGAATCTTGAACTATATAACTACATAACCTTGAACTTAAAGAAAAAAAATTTACAAGAATACAATCCAAATGGGTTGCACTAAAGGTTTTTAAAATTTCAAGTCAATAATTTTTTTTTACATAATGAAATTTATAAACTCTAAATTTATCATCTCAAATTACAATAAAATTCTATAAAATGTAAATAATCAATTCAAAGAATATATATTCTAGTAAAATGTAAGTGATATATTGATAAATTACTCAAGATAGATTTGATTAATACAATTTATATTATTAAATTTATTATAATAATTAAAATTGTAAATAGAATTAATATATTTTGAATTAACTAAGAGTATGGTATTATACTTTATTAAAAGAGGACTATGTTATTAAAGATGTAAGAAGAATTGAAGATGGTTTGCAATGGAGGAAAGAAGATATAGAATAAATGGAGAAGTATATACTTGGAGGGCTGGTCTTAAAGGTCGTTACCCTCCCAAAAAAAAAAAAAATTAAACAAAAAAATGGAACTTACAATCATAACTGAAAATAATACAAACAAAAGGGGGCGTTAAAAAGAAAAATTATGTACCATTTATGACGTCATTCTACAGAGCTATGAATAAATTGTTTACGATCAAACCGTATTGGGATGAATAACAATTTACTTACCGACTGCTGCATGATAATGAGACAAAGCGTCCTGAAGCTGTCCTCGCGCTAAGAAGTCGCGACCCATCTCCAAGTGGTTCTCGACTTCAGAACCTGCAGCATAAAAAAAAACTCATTGGATTTACGAACGTCACGACGTTGCAGTCGGGTAGTTGGGAGCAGCTAGAAGTGAAGGTGTTACCCATGACGATCGAGTAATCCAGCCAGTCAAGGGCCAAGAAGAACAGACAGGTGGAGTACAGCTTCAACTGCATCCTGTGCCACGTATCCATCTCTCGGCGGCAGCGGATCTTCTCGCAGCAATAGTTCTTCAAACGCGTACTGTACGAATGGCGTGTACCGGGGTATTCGGGTGGTTGACCGGTGGAAGACCAATCGCATCCTACGCTCTCCGGAAATGCTGAGCTCCGTGCAGCGCGCGTCGCGTGTGTACAACTCACTGGGCACTTGCACTGTAATATTTTGACCGCGGTTCGATCGAGTACCGATTCGGATGCGGACAATCGCCGCCGAGACGACTGATAACGCACGGTCGTTGATAACAGTCCGGAGCCGCGTCCGGCGAGCTCGGAGCCGCGAACAACACCGGCTCGACTGGCGGCGATACGCCAAACGCGATCTTTGCCGTTTCATCGGGCGCCGTGGTGTGCTACCATTGGTCGATTTTCCGACTGAACCGATTCGAAAACGTCGACGACCACAACCGTGAAAAAAAAGCTCCGTCTTTTGGTTGATATCTTTGGGTTCCAACGACGGTCGTGATTATAGGTCGACGAGCATTGTAAACGCGCTTCGAGCTTTTTTTCTACACCGTTATTTGTACAAATTACAACAGTACATCGTTTCCGAAACGCCCTAGCAGTTATGAAAATTAATGAGGACTCGAGGATGTTACATCTATATGTACATATATATATATATATACGATTATGAACTATTATATTATAATAAATAAAAAACGTGAACAATTAAAAATATGTATTGCCAGTCGACACGAGTCTGAATATACATTAATTAATACTGGTAAGTTTTAAACAATGTTGATGAAGTTTCAAATTAATTGTTTGAAACAGTTTTAAAAATATTGGTTAAAACACTTTTTTTTTATTTAATAACTCTGCAAATACGTAATACGCCGACGAAAAACTAAAATTGAGTTTTTGTTGACTGTATGTAACATATGTCATTGATTTTAGAATATACTATATTCTAAAATCAATGCATATGTGTACTTCGTTCTCGAAAACGAAACCTGACTGTGTTCGCATTACCAAAACAATAAAAATAATAAATTAATAAAGCTGGGGTGGGAACAGACCTGTATTTAGGAGGCATAGGTAGGAACATGCTCAGGGGCGGCAAAATATTTTAGCAAAATTAATTTTAAAAATGATGTATTTAATGAAAAAAAAATAAAACAATAAAAAAAAATAGTATATCTTATTATGTTGTATTTTGTTTAATTTGTTAATTAAAAAAATTATTAAACAATTTTCATTTATAAGTCATATTTTAATATTAAAGAATCTCGATTATGGTCGAAATAGTAAATGTTATATTATTATTATTTATTTTGGAGAGGGCATAAATTATATGGCCGGGGGCGCCAAATTTTTAAATACGGGCCTGGGTGGGAACGACCAAGCAAAATTATAATCATAATTCACCATTTGGCTATAAACCAACGACGGCGTATTAAGAATACAACGTAGTAGATACTACAAAAAGGCAACACGTTGTGCAGTCTTTGTGTTTGATTTATTGTTTGAGCACAGTAAAATATCAATTCTTACGTATATAATGTTTATAATTATGTGAAAAAATGACCCAATGAGCAGTGGCAAAGGAAAAAGGGGAGGGTTCAAATTCCACATTGCCGAAATCCCAGCTGATAAATAAATAGATAATAATAAAAATAATTATCTAAATATATCAAACCCCCTCCCCATAAATAATCCTTACGACCTTGCCAATGTGTATATGTGACACAAATAATGAAATTATCGCTAGTACACTAAATTATGTCATGTGCCTCTGTACCAGTGAATTAATATAATATTATTTTATCCAAACATAATTCGCTCGTCAAAACAAGACGCAAGCATGTATATAACGATGTAATTTTTGCGACGACCGGTTATTTTTTTAAAAAAAATCTTATTTAAATTGGTTTTAAGTTTTATTGAATGGTAAATCATATTAAATATAAATACTTGTGTGACTTAATTATCAATAGATTTAATTATTAACGCATTTCGAAATTATCTGCAGCTATCATAATTTCAGCTTAAAAATAAAAGAAAATGTTGAAATAGATATGTAATGAAAGTTATAAATTTCTATACGAGTGAATACAAAAAATGTTTATGATTTATACGATTAAAACTATAAGTGTGCTTGATTTTCTGTTGTGTCTGTCAAACGACAATTTATTGTGACTAGTCACAAGTTTTGGTGACCGTTCGAGTTACAATTATTGCAAACAATGAAAGTTATTTTTAACATCAAGAACCTGAAGAAGCAATAATAATGCAAAAAAAATAGCTTAGAGGGGTTTTATATAAACAGTTTTCATAAATTATTTAACAAGAAAACTAAAGAACTTGAGGAGTTTTTGTTTAGTTTTTAAAAGTAAAACTATAAAAATGGTCTCACTCAAACCTTTAATTTGTTGTTGATAAATTATTTTTATAAGGCTTTATTATATGAGTTATGTATGAAAAATAATTGAAAAACGAGTTTAATTCGTATTTTCTAACTTTATTTTATGAAAAAAAAATTATAGCATTATTCGATTTCGAGGTTTTTTTATAAATATACAGATAATAATAATAAATGTGTAATAAAAATAAAACCATCGTTTGTATAGATATAAGTGAATAATATAAGTTGTAATCATAATTAATGTTAATATGTTTTATAATTTATTTTGGTCTAGTAAGGTTGTAAAAATAAATTTATTAAATCTTCTTCATTCGATTGTTTTTTAACATTTAAACAATATACACATACAATTGAAATAATTGTTAACGATGAATGCGTATAATACATACGTAAGTTATAAATACAACCAATGATTTAAATACATATATATGTATGTGTTATTATAATTATATATATTTATAATCAATTATACAACCTAATACCTAATACCAATTTACCATAGTTATAAGCCGATAAAAAATGGCTGTCTACGAAAGCTCAGGTTTTAATTAAGTAAAATAATAAGACTTAATTAATATTATTTTTACTTTATTTGCTAGTTCACAATTTAAGCGGCTACGACGCGTACATAGGTACGGTTTTACTACTACAGAACAACAATCGAAACCCGTCGTCGAGAACTGCCGCCTCGGACGCCCTATCGGACATTATATTTTATTATATACGTGTACTATACAGATAATCTTTATAATATTTCCCAATTATAAAATATCTCGCGTACGCAACAATGGCTATATGCATATACGAGTATATACGTATATATAATTATTTTTAATGATTCGGTTCGTTTATTCGAATACAACCGGTAAATATAATGGATAAATTTAAATTTAAAATGATATAAATATTTTTTAACGAAATTTTTTTAAATATTTATATAATATATTATGTAAGCTGAATAAATAACAAATAACTTTATACTATTATTACATACAGTCTAATAAATGATTTTTAATATTTTTACGAAATCTAATTTTATTTTTTAGATACTTTAGCCATAAATTGAGCAGTTCAGTAGTAAAAGTATTTATTTCATAAATTAAATATTTTTTACCATTGTCATTTGGTATTAACTGTATAATATATGCCATATTGAATACGAGCGTCTGCTCACTAAAAGTTCAAACACTTGTTACCAAGCGCGGATATAAGGGAAGGGTTGTGGGGGCTGAAGCCTCCTTAGTCATTAGGTAGAACCATAACGGACGTAGGTACTTAAAATATTTAAAAAAATAGACGTAAGGAAGACTTAGTACAAATCGACATAAACAAAGAATCAGTGGCGGCTCATGAGGTTCACATAAGGTGGTACACAAATAATTTGTAAGATATGTAGGTTGGTAAAAAAAATATTAATTTTAACATAGATTTAGGTACATGTAACATTATTATCATTATTATCAATATTATTATTATATATAATTTATATATATATATATAAATTAATTGCTGTTCGTTAGTTACACGAATAATAATATACGTTAACGTCGGTGGTCGATAGTAAACAGAAACATGATTGTTGTTTTGAATTTAAGATAATGACTAACATTATCAGCTAATAATTGGAGTATAATAAACAAATGTGAGTAAAAATAAATCATAATGGCGATGCCAACGGCGCGCCGACAGAAAATAATTCACTGAAAACAATTTAATTGGTTATGTGCACAGAAACGAATGTGCACATCAATCCATTATAACGCATGTTGCGTGTTTCGACTTGTTTTAATTTTTACATTGTACAAATGTGCACACCAATAGTGTGCACTACAGCACCACTATAACACATTCACTGATACCGTTTCGTCGTGGACAACCACCTGCCCGTTTGGCCTTCGGAAACCCCATCTAAATATTATATTATTTTCATAATATTCTGAATTTATATTTTTATATTTTGAAAAATAATCTTAATAACACTACAGGTATTTAGTTGTATTATTATGGTTTATGTTTTCAATTTTTTTGAGTTTGGGTAGGTAGTGCACGTGCACTTGTGCACATATACACGAGCCGCCGTTGCAAAGAATTATGACAGTAACTCACTTTTACTAGCCTCCCCATTTTTAATTTCTAGATCCGCGCCTGCTTGTTACAAATAACCTATTATGATGTGAGTGGAATAAGAAGCCAAGGTATTATTCGAATTATAATTTACGAAGATATGTATGCAACTTAAAAAACAAACAAGATATTTCAAAGATAAATCAACTATACGAAAAATAAAACACTGAACTCGTTAGAGTATCAATGCAATAATGCATCTACTTAACTTTAAATTTAAAATTTTTAATGGGCTTAGCTTCACTACTAAACCGGTTTCACTGCATTTTGGATGCTACACGTTTCCGATGTTCACCTAAAAATGAATTCTAGTTTCCGCTGAAATCAGTATACTCGTTTTTTGAATCGATAATGATTAACATATGTTTGGACGGGACCTTAGAGTCTGATCATTCTACGTCGGCGACGACTCCCGATACTTTACCAGTGACTATTTTAGTATAGAAGTTTGTTTATTTTAATCATCGTTTTCGATAATAATTTGTTTTTTTTTTTTGACGGGTCAAACTTTATGCGGCTAAAGTGATAGTTTTAAAATCATCACGCATTTCGTAAGTTTCTCATTCGTAAACGTGCAGTACCTGATTGAATATAATCACCGATGCATTTATACTTAGCAATGTCTCCGTCGGCAACATTAACTCGGAAATATTCAACTATTATACGCAGACACGTAGAAGTATTGAACAACAAAATTAAATTAACATACTGAGAACACATTTTAAGGTATGTAACATATTTTGAACACATTTTTTTAAATATGTACACTGAACTAGAAAACATTTGGTTTTTTCGATTTATATCTTTCGAGTTATGTAATTGCTAACCATTAAAAAATGAACCAGTGACTGATACCCTATATTCTCATAATTTAGGTAGGATACTAGTTAGTATAGTAACAATAATTAATCACTGAAGTAATAACTTACCATTAAATGTATAAAATAGTAATAATATTTGACGAAATAAGTAATTCTTGAAATGCATACCAATATTTATTTCGGGTATTCATCGTTCATAATATGCTGACCTCGGCTAGTTCACAAGAAGGTGGAAGGAGAGGGTTACCCTCTCCTTCGTTCAATTACCGCTGCATGTTGTCAAAATATGTAAAACTTTCTTTTTTGAGTAGTATAAAATATTTCTTTAAGTAAAAACAAATCAACGAACTCTGATGCTCATGTGTATTTAAACGCTGTAAATAATAAATGTGTTTCCTTAAAATATATAATACTAATTTCAGTCTTAAGAATTTTTTAAATATTTATCATTGACTAAACATTTAAAATAATCATTACTAAATGAATCAGTTGTAAAAAAATTGGTGAAAAAAATGGTTTTTACCCAAAAAGTATTGATGTTAGGCTTTCATTTTGTAATATGGGTTGGCAGCCAAACTTCGGCTCAATATGAAACGATACCATCCTAAATTTTCAAAAGATGTTAAGCCAAGGCCAATTTCGATATGGGGTTTGGTGCTACTATTGTATATACAGTGAAACCCCACTATCTCGAAATCCGATGTCTCAAAATTTCTGTACGTCGATTTTTTTTTCCTTTCCGATCATTCAGTATAAGATTTACGTTATAAATTATTTTGGTACATCGAATTTCCATGTCTTGAATTTTTCTATAAGCCGAAGTCATTATCTGGTTTTACCGCCTATTACGATTCACTAACTCAAATTTATAACAGATATGTATAATATATAATGCTCAGACTATAAAATGACCGAGTTTGTACACATAACCATGGCCGCAGCTACACATTATTCTAGGAGGGGCAAACTCTAATTTTTCTGCCCCTCTTTCCATCATTCAGCCCCAATAATTTACAAATAAATTTCAATGTTGTTATTACAATATAAGTTTGAGAAAAATTCTAAAATATTTAATACTTATTAAGATGTTATGTGACAAATATGCTATTATACTGTTGTTAAATGATAAGTTAGGTTTTTTGAAAAATTAAGACTTAAAAATGTATGCTACAATTATATAAAATATACAAAACATAACTATTCTTAAAAACTAAAAGTTATATTAAAGATTTATTAAAATTTGATTTTTTTTGATTTTTTGGCTGCAAATGTTTTGATTATTTCTTCAAATGAGATTTCTGATGCTCTTTGATGTTTTACAACGCACGCACACATTTTTTTACCGTAAATAAATTTTAATTATTAAATATTTTCTTACAGTATTCACAACTCATTATTATAGTATTTATAAGATGTTGAATTTGTAGATTATGATAATTTTCTTTAACTTTTATAGGCAATAAAACTGTTTAATTATTAAAATAAACTATTTATATGTGATTAATAGGTACACTTTCAAAAAACACGTCAGTCGTCGAATCACGAAAATAAATGATTTTAGTGTGATCGCGCTAGTTAGGTTAAGCGTAGTTTACACGATACTAAGAGTAGTTTACTAATGACTAGTGAAACATCATACTATCTTACTATCTCACTAGTGCATAATTAAATAATTATTTCATATACACGATATTCAAATACTAGTAGTTACTACACTGGCGCACACAGGGGGGGGGGGTAAGGGGTTGTAACCCCTCCCGAAATTTTCTCCAATTTCTAGGTTAAAATTTACAAATTTTACAAGTTTGAAATATGAAGAGCTAGTATTGAATACCTAGTATCATTGATTATAGAATAGTCTATTCTATTATCAATGATATTATTTAAGTCAAAATATATTGAGGATTTGCATAATTTTATTAATTGTAAAATGTGTTATATTTTTACCTTGACCTCCCCTTCCCCCGAAAAAAAATCCTGTGTGCGCCACTGAGTTACTAGTATTATAAATACCACTAGTACCAGTAGTCAGTACCATACACAGCTTCATGACTGGTCATCGTGAAGTAACCACTGCTGTTTGATTTAATTTGTTTTTTAATCTATAACAAGTTTGTGATATATTTGTGTTTTTGCAATGGACAAATTTTAAAATGACTCATTATGAATTTGTTTATGATAATATATTCAACAAGAAAATTAACAGAAACAATAAATAATTAAAACTTATTATAATATCTGAATAATAACTGAATAATGAATATTCGGTATCGTTTTTAGTGTTTTTACACACTGCCGGGAAATACAAGCTACTAGTTTAAAATAAACAACTAGTGCCCAAATACACGATACTATTTTTACTCGCATCGGATAAAATAGCGCGCTAGTTTGCTAGTAAAATTGAAATATTTCAACTTAACTCTTAAACTAGTTTACTATCAAAATAGTTTGCTAGTTTACTAGCACACTCAACTAGACAATGTTTTTTTATAATCAGATAGTGAACTAGCTTACTAGTTGCTAGTAAACTAGCATCGTGTAAACTATGCTTTAGCTAGCTGTTTACATTATAAATATAAAATGATAATCAAGACTCACAAACATAGATCTATGTTCATATACAATCAGTGGCGTACTAACCGGGGGGGGGGAGGGTCATAGGATTTGAACCCCCCATTGGCCGTATTTTTTTAATATTATTCCAATAGTTTAATAATAATTGATTATTGATTTTAATGATTATAATTTAGTGGTTTATTTTCATATTTTCATAGAAAATAATGTATACTTACTCAAATGACGAATACTAATAATATGTATACAGTGCTCGACTTGGCAAAATTAAAGAAGGGGGATTCTATTTACTTTAAAAAAAGAACGTCCCCAAAACTGGCTGAGGGTTATGATTATAGCGTAATAATAGTAAGGGACGCTAACATTTCTGAAAATTAATTGGGGTACTCCGTCCCCCTTTAAGTCGAGCACTGTATGTACATATAATAAATACACATTTTTCCCCATAGTTAAACATTTTTATTTCAAATTCCCTTGGTAACTCGAAGTTTCGATATATAGGTTTTTTTTGGATACCGAGGTGTCACTGTATCTAGTTTAAATAGATAGATTCTATTTTAAAAAATGTTTACGAATAAAAAATTCCCGGCACCCGAAACACCCACATATTGTTTGCTTTACGAATTTCTCGTTCATATACATATAGGTGTAAATACCTTTTAAAGTTAAGTGGGCTCCAGTCCTGGCTTTTTTATAGTCATAGATTAAGTGAGGAGCTCTGATCCCCAGTATCGTTATTCGTTATCACCATTTTACACATTACCTAATGTCACATAAATAAATTGTGTACATTTATTCTTCCGAGTGACGAATATTTTTGTATTCGCCTTTAATTTATTAGTACTACACGGTATGATACATTACACATAATAATATAATGGTTTACCAATAATAAATAAGAATACAAAATTTTACAAGATATTGTTAATAAAAAATAAAACGATAATTTAAATTCAAAAATGTAGCTACTCTTGGTGAGACTAGGATTTATGTCAAGGGGGGCTAAAATTTAATTGGATGGGCTTAGTTATACATATGCATATATATCTCCTGTTCATTTCGATAATGAAAACATTTTAAGCCCGTCCACGCTGAATAAAAGTATTTTAAAAATAAATACATTTTTCGAAATAATATCGATATTGGATGCAATTGAAAGTCGAAACTAAAGGTAGAACGTCTTTAGAAGTTACCAGTCATATTTATTGACGCAATATCATTATCAGAATATAAGTTAAAAGTGACCGAGAACACGATGAAAAAACATTCGAAGGACGCTGTTTTAGTATTGTTACTAGTTATTATTAAAAAAGTTACACCAACTTGCGATTAAAAAAATAATAGAAAAAATACACGGAATCTAACGAAGTAGAAAATATTTCATGGTCATCGCACGAAATCTTCATTATTTCCAACAATACATATTAAATTATGATTGTCTTCATAGTTTATTTTACAGTCGCGTATTAATTTCCAAGTTCATAATAAAAACAACGCGTATGATTTATTAAACATGCGACCCCGTGTCCCATAGACAAACTAGAAAATAATTGTTATTTATGTATGCTTGAATATTTGATTACTCATCAGAAACATTTGAAATACCAGAACGAAAATATTTTATATCAATGTTTTTATTTTATTTAAATAATATATATATATGTGTGTGTGTATACAAATCCATCTACATTACAAAATAATACAAAAATTAAATATTGCGTAATATAAGGCAGCTCCGCATAATACTGTTTATAAATATAAATAAATACAACAATGTTATTAAAATAGAACAGCTAATGTGTAACTACATTTCTATCATAAAATATTTACTGCTAAAAATCAGTTTAAGCTCGTAATGAATTATTATGAAATAATGAAATATAAAATTTAACAATTAATGTTATAGGTGGAATGTGTACGAATGGTATAAAATAAATTTAACGTTATGAGAATTAAAATGATATTTTTATTATTATAATTATGTTTATTGAATAAATATATGCAATATGATTTAAAAAATAAGAGTAATTTATTTTAAATTGAAAATAAAAGATTATTTTTAGACAATATCAGTGAATGTAAATAATTACTAACACTTAAACAACAAGTGAAGTATATGATTATTACATGACTAATTATAAGGCTTTGAATACGATGTAAAGGCAAACCGAACTGACTGAAAATTAAAATGAACTATATTATATAAAATATTATATTAACATTTATTGCTTCTTTTTGTGATAGCTGTTAGCTAAGAGAATAGTTTTAAAATAACTATTGTAATATTGAATATTTATGATATTTTAGTGACACTATTAACTACAGACATTTATACATTATATGTATTATCAAGGACAATACATAAAAAGAAAATAATTGTACATCAAACATACAAAAGTATCAGTTATAATTGATACATATTTTTTTTTACATTTTGAATAATACAGTTTTTATCAGACATAGATATATTGAATCTAATAAAAAATACAGTTTTATGAACTTGGTTAATAACAATTTTGCAGTGATTTTAAACGAAATTATATAATAAAGATAATAATGTAAGTAGGGTGAAACAAAAATTAAAAAAATCAATCGAGTACAGATCTCAAGAAAGTAGATAGCATAAGAAAAACGAAAATTAATGGTGTTCATCCCTTACAGTGATGAATCCTGTAGCTGCAGTAGCACAGGATATTCTTAAAAACTAAATGTTTTAACAATATAAGTATTAAACTACATAAAAATACAGGTTTGTTCAGAGGAAAAATGTTTATATTTATCTTAAATCTATAATACTTATTTTATTTTTAACAACTGATTAATACAGACATGATAAATTAAAATAATTGAACTAAATACAGACTATATAAAAAAAAAATATGAATACTTCAATAATTGTATATTAAATAACTTATCTTACTACAACAGTATGGACGGAGTCAGTTTAATAAAACAGTCAAAATATTATATACTCGTATTTTATCACAATTTAAAATTAATAAATAATTATTGATTATAAAATTATAATGTTAAAACAATAAAAATGAGATTATTAGTTTCGTAAAATGTATATCAAATTCTGTATACAGTAACATTAAAAACTAAATATGCTGAATACATAAAAGAAAGAAAAATTCCTTATATTGAAAGAATTATGATTTAAAACGGGATTCATTATTATTATTGTTTTTAAAATAAAATAAAATGTTTATGTTTTTGTCTCCATATCAAATTTAGTTTGAGATTCTTTTAAATATTTTCTTTTCTTCACTTGAATGTTAGTTTCTACCAAGTAAAATGCTCCAGATGCTAGTAAAGCAAAGAAACTTGCAATAGCCACACCAAATGCCCAACCGAAAAAGTTGTTATCATGGCCAGGCATCCATCGAGGTTGGTTGGCAAACAAAGCAAATATTAATACAGCAATTGCAGCAGATACACCTAAGTGGGAAAAATTTGAATATATAATAAAAAATTATCAACAATATCAAAAACAATGAAATTACCAGATACAATCAATGTTATTCCCAACACAAAAGTTATTTGAATGAAACGTTTTTCTTCAGGCGTACAGCACAGAAGAAACATTGATGATCCAACAGCAGACAACAATGTCCCAAGGAATGTGATTGTATAGAAGAACTGAGTAGCCACTACATGAACTGTAAACAAAAAAATTTAATAAAGATTAATAAGAAATCAAGAAAAATAAGATACTAAAATGTATGTTACTAATTTTTATTACATGGTAATAAAAATCCTTTAATTTCATCGTATCCCTTGGTGAAAGGGTCGAAAATCCAATGACAACCAACAAAAAATCTTCGTTCCGCTGGATCGTTGGGATCGGGTAGTGAACGAAAGCAATGCGTCCATAGCCCAAAACTTTCTAATTTTGCACCTTTATTGGAAAAATAAAAAAAAATTATAATTGAATTATAATATAAAAAAATCATTTAAATACCTGTGATTCTTCCATCACTGACTAACCAACTGGTTGAGAAAAATGCAGTAAACACAAACACTAAAGCCAATACGTAAAAGCCAAGGGCTACATTTCCAGCTAAACTACGCTTTTTCATTCTACAAAAATAAAAATTATTTCTAAATAAAGCTTAAACAAAATTATTTTCCTTAAATTAAAATTATATGAGTTATTACAACAATATACTTAAATATAATAATAACAAAACAAGTAATTTAAATAAAAAAATAATAGGTAGTTATTCAAGTTCTACTTAGAATACACAAGTACAATTTATTCATATGAACACGTATAATATTATAATAACAATTTACATTATTAAGTCAACGATAAAATATTTTTTTGGATAGAAAATATTTGTATTATAATAAATTATTATAAATAATGAATTACTAATAGGTTAGGTAAACAAATAACACAAATATAATAACAGATGAAAATATTTGATAAAAATCAAAAATATGTTTTTAATTTACACCAAAACATATTATTAACATATTATTAATGAATTATTACTAAGGCTCAGATTTAAATGCACGAAGAATCACTGAAAAATGAAGTAAAAAATTGTCAAAAATGGCCTTAAATAATAGCCTATATATATATATATTTTTTTTATATATTAGGTACTAAGCTTATAATTTACAATAAAAAAAAACTAAACATTTACCTAATACCAAAAAAATAAATGACTTAATACCGCAATGACGGAGTTAACTGAAATTATATTTATATATAATATTATAAATCATTAAGTGATACAAAATAAATTAAAACTATAAAAATTAAAAAAAAATGTAAATATTTACTAAAAAATGATAAAAACAACAAAAAGTATAAACATTTTAAAATAAAAGGCTAAACTTTGAAATTATAAATTTACACGAAACAAATTATGTACTAAGAAAGCATTTCCTAAAAACATCTAAGAAAATATACGCTTTACACAGAAATCCGGGATCTAGTTATTACATTATATGGTTACCTGAAAAATTTAAATTTTTAAGTATTTAATTGTATTAATTCAAGTTAAATTAAGTGTTAATAAAAACAATTTTAGATAAATTAAGCCAATCATTTTAAATGTTCTTACATATACATTAGATACTATTCTATCTATTACTATTTTTGATACATTTTACATTATTGTAAATTACTTAAACAAACAAGTTTCTGATTATTCTTAATAGAAAACTTATAATTGTAATTTAGGTGTAGAACAACTCGACATCAGTTTATTAAGTTTTTATAAATTTATTTTTCAAGATATAGAACACGAGTACTGTAGGTAATTCTATACTTTTTTATTTAAATTGTTATACATATTATTTATATTAATCAAATAATACATTTCTTTGTAAATTAAATAAAAGTACAACATTGAACTTTTATATAATTAATTAAAATTTCAAATTTGTTTCAATAAGATTAGAACACATAGATTATATTATAATAAAATGAAAAATTATTTGTTAAACGCAAAATTAAAATTGACACTCTTCATTACCTCATTGGTCAAAGAATTACTGTTGAACTTATATATTTCTAAAATAGAAATAATACTAGTTATTAGTAGTATAAATAAAAATTGATACTTAAAATATATTTTTATCGCGGTTATACATGCAATAAGCTAACATCAGTAAAACTGTATTCAAAATAATGTCTAACAAAGTGTAACTATTTTATTTCTAAACACACGACAAAGAGTTTAAATGATACCTTAGATGTTCACACCTACAAAGTGCACATTCAAAATACAATAAAATTAATAATAATAACTGAAAGTTATCAGATGCAATTATCGATAGGTTAATACTTGAACAACCGTAAAAAAAGTATTATGTAATAATATTAACGGCTGCACCTGTGTTCGTCTTTTGATGATGGGTGCGGTCGAAAACGAGGACAGAAGCATAAAATTAAATCAACGACTTACAGGCAATAACAAATATTAGACACTATTAGGTATTACAGTGACGGTCGTCGCCGCTGTAAATCGACAACGGTGACCAACACGTACCTTAGATGTTTCTCGGAATCTGTAGACCCCGGCATCGTGCGAGCGTCACGCGAACACGGTTAGTCGAGAAGAACTGTTGATGGCATGCTACGCGAGACGAGAAACGAACGGAAAAACAGGAGGCCGGTGTAAAAGCGATTGTTAATCAAATGTTTAACGATGACTGTACACTGGCAATGACTACGTACGGGTGCACGGAAAAATCAAACGCAAACAAACGGCTCGTCGTGCACGCGATACCTACGTTACGAGATTACTGGTCCTCGATCGGTATAATTTGTTTCTTGCGAAGAGTCAGCCGTCGGTCGCAGTTCAACACATCAGTTCTCCCCCGGATAACGGGGATCGCGCACACTGCAAACGGGCACACACGGCGTGACGGACGATCAGAGGTGGACGTCGGAGCAACGCCCGAGGAAAAAAGAATACGCCGCACTGCCACCGGAGCGCAATGACGTGCAAGAAATTCGAAGGCAAAAAAAAAAAAAAAAGGAACTATATGTAAACAATTTGTTGATGGAGAGAAAAAATTACGACAAGAAAAACAGAAGACGGGCGAACGCGCGAGTGTTGATTACGGTTTTGTTTATCTGGAAAAGCGACGCGAGCGACGACGAGAGATACTACTAGGCGGGACACGCCCTGGGTCACGTGGTGCTGGTCGTCGTTGGACTTGTGGCGGGGAGTGCCGATTCAAACGATGACGACGGCGAACGGTTTCAGTGGTTTTTTTTTCATTCCATTTATTTAATATTTTCACGCACCGACCGGTGGTGAGCGGGCAGGCGCGCGGCCAGTGTTAATTAAAATGTTTAAATATGCTAATCAACCGCGACCGTCGTCGTATAATAATTATTATATTGCGATGTCTGCGGTAATGTATCTGCAGCAACCGGCAGCGGTTACGATGTCCGATCCGTCGCGCTGAAGTGACTACTGAACGTGCACTTATTTACACGCCTGGTGCCGGCAATCCGTCGTTCGTCAACTGACGCAAAAGTTAACTACTCGACACGTGATATTAAAATGTCTAAAGCAGCGAAGCTTGTGTCAAGCGCGTAGCCAGGGGGTGTTACAGGTGTAGTAACACCCTGGCTTTAGCTCTTTCAACGCTCAGTGCAAGAATTATTTTGGCAATCTTAAACGACTTAAACGCAGCGGTGCAGTTCCGGGGGGGGGGGGGGGGTTTCCACCCCCCCCAGATTTTTTTTTTAAATTATATTTAATTATTATTTATTAATATTTACATATTATAGTAAAATTATATTTTCATTTTACTAAGATTAGGTATATATTAAAAATCGAGTAACAAAATAATTTTCATTAAATACGGGACATAATAATAATACCATTATAAATGTAATATTATTATTATGAATGGGCCGATACCACTTTTTACTGATACCCGATATACCGATATATACAACCGATATAAAACCGATACCCGATATTATAATCACAAGTAAAAACTAAGTTGATTTTTAATATATTGCATAAAAAAATCAACTTTTTTGGCAAAACTATGAACCGATACTAAAATTAATCCGATACCACAAACCGATAATACATAATGTTAGCATTCAATTATTTTACTGTGGCCCACCACAATACTATCGATATTTAGTGTTTAAAATATTGTTATTATTGGTGTTATAGTATTTTATGCTGATGGTTCTTTTTTATCGGTTCAAATATTGGTTTTGAAAATAAACCGATACCACCAATATCGGCCGATACCAAGTATCGGTTCTAGGATCGGCCCACCCCTAATTATTATATAGGACCTCGTATTAAGATATTCAAAGAGTATTATGAATTGACTCTTAAACACCCCCTCCCCTCCAAAAAAAAATAGTATCTACGCTACAGCTTAAACGTATAACTAAAACCGGTGGACTTTTGGACTGGAGACATCTCATTATACATATTATGAGCCTCGTTCGTAATCATAAACGCTCAAAATAATTGTTTCAAACGTACATGTTTGCCACATAATTGTAAATCGTTCGGGGAACAAATATAATAATACTCAAAATAATATAACGATGGTTTATAAAACTGTAATTGTACCCACAAGAGCGGACAATCCTTGCATGTTGATAGAATAATAAAAAATGATAATTATAATAGTAATCAAATTCATATTGAATCATATCGTGACATTTTTTTTTCTATCCGTAGTAGATAGGGCAGAGCACTTTTAGCTCTAAAAATTCACCAAATATGCACTTAAATTTAAAAAATATGCATTAAAAATATACACTTAAATGTACAAAATATGTTTTTAAAATGAATTTTTTTTAATAAAAAATAAGAATTTTTCTCTAGGTACTTATTATTATGAATACATTTTATTCACAACTTTATTTAACAACTTTCAAGTTACAATTAACTAATTGGGTTTATTTTATGGGTTTTCTTTTCAGGACAGTGGCGTATTTACGGGGGGGGGATATGGGGGCTAGATCCCCCCCTTGACCTTTTTTTTTTTCCTAGGTAGCTATAAGTTGTCTCATTTTCTCTAATATTCTTAATATGATATTACTTTCAAGCATGTATGTTTTCTATTTTCTAAATGTTCTAGTCGTGGTAATTGTACCGCTCTGATAGTCTGATATACTAATCGCCACTAATCGTTTATCGTTGGCGGCATGTACGACTATCAGGCAACAAAAACTATACCTATATTATGGTGTACTGTATTTTGTACGTTTCTGCGAATTATTTTTCATGCAAGAGTGTTTATAATAAACCCGATAAGCAATCGGTAAACAAAACAAAATGACCATGAAGACCGTGGATTAACCATAGGGCGGCCGGGCGGGTTTATTTTTAGAAAATTTGTTACTAGTAGATTTATGGCTAATGTATAGCTATATATATATATATTTTATCGTATGATATCGTGATTCGTTAAAAGTAGATATGTACGGTCGTTGGACGTTGACGGATAGCGACAACGCGCCATTCCGAGTACTGACTTACTGCCGAATTGACTATTGTTCGACTTTATTTTTTGCGTCTTGTAAGTTGTAACTGTGAAGTTTTAAGACAATATGAGTAATACTCAAAAACAAAAAAAAAACTTTATTTTCTTATTTTAGTACAAATAAAAAAATTTGTTTGGAAAATGATGAGGTAATTTTAAAGATTAATTCTTATTTTGCCTTGATCCACACTAACCTCAATAGGTAACAAGTTAGGGGATTTTAAAAATGTATATTATGTACGAATTTATGGGTGTTAGGATGTATTATTATATATTTCATCCCCCCCCCCTAACAAAATTCCTAAATACGCCACTGTTTCAGGACACTTACTTTAGGCATTTTTTATAATAAATAGTAAATAGAACGTGTTTGGACTGTTAACCGTTGAGAAACACAGCGATTACTGAAATATGAATATGTCTGATGTCGGCGATAGGCGTCCCTGTATCAATATTTTGTGCGTTGAACAATATTATTTCATCTGTTCATAAATAAAATGAATAATCCGACAATCAGTCTAAACGACAACTCTCGAGACGTGTTTTTAGTAAAACCATGATGAATCTGGAAAAAGTCTAAAACCATATTAATATTATGATCAAAATTTAAAATCATTTTAAATTCAACGTTATTTTGTTTGTATAAATAAATAAAAACGTCGACGAAAAAATATGCCCTAAAAACAAATGACTAACTAACTGGGCGTTGGGCGAGTTGGACATGACAAATTTTAAAAATATCGATAGATTGGAAGACAACTATTTTTACATATATTTTTTTATCAATTTTGTTGTTTAAGTAGGACGGATCTGAATTTTTTTTCTCGTTAGCAGGTCTCAATGTTTTACGAATGATCGTCACATTGTAATAATGACACGTTTCAAATAGCATTGCCGACGAAAGGCACCATAACATAATTTAACATACGAGTACTATTTTTAGTAACCTTTCTTTTATACGACCGTTGCACCGAGAGAGAATAGAGTTTTCCCGATTGCTGTGCACACTATTATTATTATTTCCGATAATTACGGACCAATAATTACGTAGGTACCGCAGGATTCTAAATATGATGATCCGTTCTGCGATTATGTTACACTCGTCGTAACGTAGTAACCATCGAACACGTGCACACATGCGGGTACGTAATGTAAATTATATATGGCCTATACGGTATATGTGTGTACGCCTATGAAATACACGTTCGGAAATCGTAAGAATTATACAGCGGCGGAGGACGAGTGTTAATCATCGTGAAAAAAAAATATGTATAGGTATAAAAATATATAAAAAACGATAATTAACCCCGTTTGAAGGTCTCCGGGTTTTTTTTTATTCGAATATATTTTTCTCAACTCGTCTTTTCGAATCATATTCTCGTTGTTCGGCAGCAGCACCGGGCATCGCATGTGGGAACCGAACGAGGCCTCGTGTGAAACGTTCTACGATCGCCGCGGCCGGACAATGCGATTGCGACACACGACACGATGCCGCGCGTTCCAAGGGTAGGCGCGCGCGTCAAAGACGTCCCGCCGAGAGATGTCCAAACTCCCAATGATTTGTCAATTCATATTTCATAAATAATTTTTTTCTTTTTACTGGTCGAATAAAAAATCGACTCCTGTTTGCGTTGCGTGTAGGCAGGATTCACGGCCAACGGATTTCACACATTACCCAACGAAAGCAATAGACAATATTTTTAATTTATAATTTTTTATTTCCACAAAAATATATAGTTAGACATGTTGTACAGTGCAAACGTTCTGAATTTAATCGTTGTGCGTTTGTAAAATAATAAAAATCAATTATACAAAATAAAGATATGTATGCTTGGTATAAAGAAACGATTGTTCAAACGTCTCAAACTAAATATTACAATAATACATATAATATAGATCTAAAGACTTAGGTAAGCTTAAAATTAAATTTAAAAAAATCACAATTATTTATACATGGCAAACAATTGAATACCGTGTTATAGCAGATTGATATTTAATTTGTTTTTTATTACAATTTTAGATTAGAAATTCACTAATTTAAAATATTTATACTACCACATTAATTCATAAAATTCTAAGAAAATGGACGGAATTAATTCACTTCAAAATACAACTACTTATATAATAGACTATATGTTTTTTAAAACAAATATAAAATTTAATACTAGGAATATTCAATTGGAAAAGTCAAAATATTGTATAAAATGTTTACATAAACAATTATGTATTCATCAATAACACAGCTTAGTTTTTTATGTATAAAAATTTGCCTTAAATAATTATAAGCTGTATTTAACAAAATAATATAAGGTACCTTATATGTAATACTCAAGTGTAAAAATATTGTTGTACATAGTGCAACATGAATTATTAAAATTAACTAACAATTAATTGGACGGATAAATATTAATCTAAGTATAAAAATATATAATACATTTTATTCTTACACTTAATACTACATTTGCTTACAAAATCCTCAAAGTATTTTGTTTATTGCACAAGCAATTTTAGTTAAATGACTCTTTTTCATATAAAAATGAGATTCACAAATTTTAAATTGAATACCTGACATTTAAAACTGTTCTAAATATCCTATTCCAGATCAATTGCACATTCAAATTATGATCTTCAAGTCATTTATTACTACTTGTCAATTAAAATTATTCATAAATAACAAAGTAATAATTGTCATCAGAAAACAATAATTTTCTTCAGACTAAAAATTCAAAAGTGCTCATTCATATGATTAATATTATTTGTTACCAGAAACAAATACCCAGTGTTTTCTTTGCAAAGAGATTCCGATCATTCATGCAGACATTAGTCTATGAGTCTGAGTTTAAAAGGTAGTGACTAAACCAATTCAATAAAAATAAATTAATATAAAAACATGGTCATTTTTCATGCTGCTATTTGAGCATGATAGAAAAATGAGAAATTTATATGTCAGTGTGGGATGATTGTTTTAGATCATGTATATCATAGTCATAATTTGCCCTTTGATTAGCCATCTTTTGACGTTTGATCTTGTGTACCCGTCCCTCTATTGTGAACAATATTCCACTAACATAAAGGGAAATGGTTCCTGCAACTGCTACACCATAACTCCAGCCTATGTCATTGTGTTCCCAATGTGGCATCCATACTCTACTATCTCCATGTATTCCAAATATTACCAAAGCGATAGTACCACATATGGCTGAATAAAAATAAAAAGTTTTATAACATGGTCATAGTGATGGGAAATTTATTTTTTACCTGCAGCTATGTCAAGTCCTCCAATGGTAAATAGAATTTTCACATAACGTTCATATGCTCTATTAAGATACATATAAAGTGCAGTGTAGAATAAACCAACCACTGTTAAGAGAACACAAGCAGAAAACCAAAATTGAGTTGCAATATAAAAACCTAAGAAAAATAAATATAATTAATTTTCCATTGAAACTTCTGAAACACAATTAAGGGTAGTAAATTATAAAATATAAAGTAAACAAAACATACCTTTGAATAATATATCATAGATAATATAGTATTCTTCTTCAAACACCCACCAACAATTTCCAAATTTTGTATCATACCAATGATGCGAGTCTTCAAAGTCTTTGAAACAAACTACCCATAGACCTATGAAAATGAAAATATTATTTACAAATAATATTTAATGATATTGTTTTAAAATACTTAAAATTATTCACATCCTATTCTAATCCGTTTCTTTTGTTGCCTGTTTCACTCTATTTTTTAATTTTTTAATAGGTTAGATGTATAATCAACAAATTGACATTATTCGTCAGAATTAAATATATGGCAAAGGAAAATTATGTTAATTTAAATTTGTTTTAAAGAAAAACTAAATTAGAACAATTAAATAACTTTGGCTGAGAATAATTAAGTCTGGTAAATAATATTTAATAAAAGAAAAAATATCTGATGATTAGGTAGTAACTGTTCACGGACTAATTCAATATCTAAGATAGTATTGTTTATAAAAACCCAATCATTTTTCATATATTGATTTAATATCATATTTGAGTTCTGTAGACTGCTTGTATAAATTCTCAAAATTATATTTGGAGGATAAACAGGTGTTTAGAGAAAAGGAACCATGACCCCAATGGGTTGAAATCAGGCCGTGGGAAATAAATATGTATCTACATTCTCTCAGGTGAACAACAACAGCTAGTACTATTTTCTCAGTACTTTAGATGTGTTGGTAAGGTACAGAGGCGCGAAAAAATCGTAGAAAAAAACGAAATCAATTGCAATAACGCCATTCGGACGTGGATTTTTCCTAATGGTGCGCGGGTCGGCGAGGGGGGGGGTTATATATTGTTTGCAACTATCGCGAATACGCTAGCGCTGGTGCGGAATTCGCCCGGACGTTGGTGAAAATCTGGTTGCTAACATACAGGATGAAAGGAAAACCCGACCCAGAGCTGTTATCGGGATGCTGGTTCGGCGGGATAATCCGGACAAAAATCGCCCCCGATAAGGGCGTGACCGAGGTGGAGCACGCGCGAAATGTATTACTAACCGATCCTTTCGAATTTCGGATGTTCCAGCTTGCCGTCCGTGACCACCCAGCTCTTCGTTGTGAACGCCAACAGGACCAAAAACGCTCCCAACACCGACAGGCCGACGGCCGTCAGACCGTTTCTGGACTTGGCCATAGAAATCACTGGTGCATCAAAACGGCGACGGACGTTTTGAAAAGACAACGAAACTGGGAGTGTCTAATTCGGGCGGCGGCCGCGGCGACGACGACGACGGATGGTACAAACAACAACATCCGTTATCATTCGACGTAATCAACATGTGGTTCAGGGTGGCAAACGTGATTGGCGCGTTTTTCCCGTTCCGACACAACAATCCGGTTTTCGTCTCCGGGACCCGTTTGCGCGGTATAATTTATGTTAATTTCGCGACGAAAAGCGACCAACGCGTTTTTCGAGGATTTCCGCGTGTGTGAAAAAAATTCGAAAACAATGTTAGACTAATATAATCAACGACGAGTCGCGTTTTTTTCACGCAGTTTAAAGGAACGCGGAACACGAACGAACGAGTAAAAAATATTATAAATTAATTAATAAAAAAAAAACACCGCGTCCGTACGTTACGACAACATCATAGGCGCAAGGAAACGATAAGAACATCGACGCACCAGCACGACCGTGTGCATGCATTTATGTTAATAGAGTACGGGCGAAGAAAAAAAAAAACTGATCGAAAAATGAATATTCTATTAGGCAGCGATCGGTTTAACATTACAGACGTGTACGGTACGTGGGCGTGGGACGAGTTCGTGGTGGGGAAGGCAAGCCCGAGGCGCAAATCCGGTCTCGTCGCGCGCACCATCGCTGTGCCGCTTAGTTCGCGACGGGCGACAATCGGTTTTCGCGTACGTCAGTCGAAGGCTGTTTGGAGAACACTATATTATCGTAGGCCGCGGACTGCATAATAATTGACCAACCGTCGCCCAAGTGTATTCCTGTTTTCAGTTTTCAAAAGTATGTTCCAAAATACGATTACGAGGTACTGCGCCGTATTCACCGCCTCTTCTGCTAGCGCGACCCTGTCCGAGTACCGTGAGCGTGCGTCATCGGAGATATCGTTTCGCGGAGTGAACTAACAGCGCCGAACTGGCGCAGACGTCGGACCTTGACGACCGGTGGCAACCGGTTTTCGAGCCGTAATAGAAAACGATATGCATGTTAAGTAGAAACACCGCGTCGCCGTAAATCTTGTCCAATATTAACCCGTTGTCCCGCCAAAAAAATCCAAAGACCGGTATACAGTAGACGTGGGTGGGCGAGTCACGTGTATACTTTGTAGTACCTTCTCCTACCCAACCGACGAATCAACGCCGCTGCCCTGGCCAGGGCGTTTCGAACGCGTCTATCGTTCTTTTTGTTGAGGCACCCGAAACTCAATCGAGAAGCCGATTCAGTATTTATTTCAAACCTTCTATCTCTGGGAGGAAGGGTATGTGGTATACAATATGCTATAGGAGTAATTACATAATACATAAATAAATAATATCTCCACCCAGTTACATCCCGAAATAAAGACTGGACCGATTGAGGGTGATCGCCGTTCGTTTTTATCGCATTAGTTTCCCATCCGTCCACGTTTGGAGAGCGAATTCGGGTACATGATTTGCCCCTCTTCCTCCGCCGCACTTGTAAACTCGTCCACCATCCACCCCATTGAAATGTGCACTAAAAACTTACATGTATTCACGAGTCCGGATACACCATCATAACTGCCGAGAAATCAATGACTTCCGTGTTCTACAAATTTTGCTGCAGAACGTCAAGGTTGATTTTACGAAATTTTTCAACGACCCACATTATTAAATACAAAACCAAATTTTTGATACTTCTTAAAAGTTTTTTTTTTTTACGGTCATACTGCCTTTTCAATGGACCAGAATGTTAACATGTGGTGAATTCACTACCGAATTCGGAGCGTTCAGATCATGGAATGCATTCAAATAATAATGCGGTCGATACGGAACGAGGTTTTCTCTTTAGGGCAGTACGTGGGATGACCTTAAACGATGTGCTTTGGGGCGGGTTCCGCGTGTAATGCGTTTTTTTTTTCGACGGCGAAGGTCGTTTGCATATCATTATCATTGATTTCAATATTATACATAATATAACGATCGAAAACCATGTTAACCGATCGTTTATTTTTTTAATCATCGGTATTACAAAGTCTGCTGGAGGTTACCGTCGTCACCGCATCCGATGTGACCGCGGGCGTATTTTTAAAATGTCTATTATTTACACGCGGTATCTATATCGTCCCTGGCTGCGTATCGTGGCGATCTTGATAACGGTAGTGAAATATAGACCAGCGCCGCCCTTGTCGCACGCGCAGAACACCGTGCGTGTGGTCTAGCGAAAGTCAAATCACTTCGGGGGCTGCGCAATTTTCGATATTTAACAGTCCATGAGTTCCAATCGAAAAGTCTTGTACTTCATTCGTAGCAAACTAAATACAACGGACAAAGTCGCGTTTTCCACAAATTAATTTCGATTGTATTACATTGTTGTTTTTTTCTTTTTCCCGGAGTTCTTTCCCGATTTCAAAGTTGCCGACAACGAATTGTGAATAATGTCCAAACTTACACCTGTGACTCATGTCATCTTCGACATGGACGGATTACTTTTAGGCGAGTACTGATTCGAACTGGATTTAAGTTGTTTTAAATTTATTTTTAAGTTGCAATTTAATGAATAATCACAGTATTTTGCGTTGTCACATTTCTTTTTTACATTTTACTATAACCGTACGTGGGTGTATGTTGTTTTAAAGTTATATTTGTGTTTTAGACACGGAGAAGGTGTACTTGTCGAGCATTACCAAAGTGCTGAAAGATCATGGTAAAGAATATACAAACGACTTGCGTATCAAGGTTATGGGTACGATACCAATCAACACTGCTACGATTATTATAAAAGAACTAGGATTGGACATGGAACCTGATGAACTTAATGAAGAGTTATATAATAACCAGATCAAACACATGGAACAAGTTCCATTTTTACCAGGTTCAAATTGATTTGCTTTAAAGTTTATGGTTGACTTAATATGTAATCACTATTTCCAGGTGCTGAAAAGTTAATCGATCATCTGCATTCAAACAATGTACCAATAGCTGTTGCTACCAGTAGCGGAGAAAAAAGTTTCCAAGTAAAAACAGCTAACTATCAACATATTTTCTCAAAATTCCATCATATTGTACTTGGCAGTGCAGATCCTGAAGTTAAACAAGGTAAACCAGCTCCAGACATATTCCTTGTTTGTGCATCGCGGTTTGATGAAAAGCCTTTACCAGAGAAAGTATGTACATTTTTCTTTTTAAGCTTTTATATTTGATTATCTCAGTATAATATAAATGAAAAATGTGTACTGTATTTTACAGTGTTTAGTGTTTGAAGATGCCCCAAATGGAGTAACTGGAGCTAAAGCTGCTGGTATGCAAACTGTTATGGTGCCGGATAAAATAATTCCAGTTGAAAAAACTAGTCATGCCACTCAAGTATTATCTTCATTGCTGGACTTTAAACCTGAAGATTTTGGACTACCTCCATTCCCATGATGATGGAAATTCAACCAAACAGACATTGTATTTCAGAATATTGTTAGTGAAAAAAAAACTTGAAAAATTTGTTATTTAATTTAATTTGATTTAATTGTTTTGGTATTCAATATCAGTCAGCTGTTTCTTAACAAATCTAGTCTTATCATTGTAATTGATAAATAAAATTTTTCTATTTGATGAATGAACTTCAGTAGTTTAGTTTTTCTGATTTGTAAATATGAGTAAGTTATTCTGTTGTATCTTATTTGCATCGATTTATTAATTGTTAAACATATTTTAGGGTTATTACCTACAGTAGCTACTTGTATCCTTAAAAATGTTAACCGTACATTTTGTGCAGCCAAGAAATTACATTGTGTCACACATGTCATTTTTGATATGGATGGTGTGCTCTTAGGTACTGCTAATTTTTCAACCAATTTCAATTCAACCTCTCATTATTCATAATTATGTATTCATGATTTTTGTATTAACTTAGATACTGAAAAATTACACAAACAATCCGTAACGGAAGTAGTAGGTAAATTTGGCAAAACCTACAACTTGGACCTGCGTTACAGAGTTTTAGGTGCCCCTGAATTGGATGGTGCTAAGATGGTTGTAAATGAATTAAAATTGCCTATATCGATCGAAGAGTATATAAACATGGTTCGTGAGTTTGAAAGTAAAGTTATGTCTGATGTTGATGTACTACCAGGTTCTTATTATTTTATTTCCTTTTAACTCTTATTTATATCTCAATATCAATCAGTTTGGTTATTTATGTTTATTTTACTGCTAAGGTTATCTACTTACAAAGTTAGTTATTTGTTCTTAAAAAAAAATAATAATTCTAGGTGTAGAACGGCTCATTCGACATTTACACAAAAATAATGTACCATTTGCAATAGCGACCAGCAGTGGTAAAAAAAGTTATGATTACAAGACTTCTAAACATAGATCATTATTCTCACTTTTTAACCATGTGGTTAATGGTGCAACTGATCCGGAAGTAAAAAATGGCAAACCAGCACCAGATATATTTCTAACGTGTGCATCTAGATTTCCCGATAAGCCTCCTATGAATAAAGTAAATGCTATAAGCAATATTTCACTTAGGAATAAATTACTTTTATAATTAACTGTCTACGTTTCTTAGTGTTTAGTATTTGAAGACTCTCCAAATGGAGTACGAGGAGCTAAAGATGCAGGTATGCAGGTAGTTATGTTACCAGATCCTTTATTGCCGAAACATTTGTGTGCTGAAGCATCAGTAATATTGAATAGTATGGAAGATTTCATTCCAGAGGCATTTGGTTTGCCACCATTTAATTAACAAATTATTTATTCATTTTCACTGTTATTGACTACATATTTGATAGGTATTTCCTCCTTTTAGTTAATTGAGATTGATAGTTAATATTTATAAGAAATTTTAAAAAAAATATGTCATTAGTTTTATACTTAAAAAGTATATTTTTACTTACAGTTTTTCAGTTTATTTCCTAACAATATTTCCATATATTAAAAATAAAAAAAGTATATTAAGTTATTAAAGCATAATAATATTTTAACAACAAAGCCACATAAATAACTTTTTGGCTAACCTATTAATAATATTATCTTTTCATTAAATTATATTGCAATTTTAGTACAATATATCATGAGATTTTAATTGTACACCTTATTATGACTACCAGTCTGGTGATAACAAATTATTTAAAAAAAATCTTATTGAGTCTTAGTTGTTATGTAATGAATATGTTTAAAAAAAAAACCTATATAAATCATAATACACAAAACAAATAGTTAAACCATATAGAATTTGAAAACTTATTTTCAAACTTGGAACTAAATATGTTGCATTTGATAAACTGTATAATGCAAATGAATCAATTGTGTTTTATAATAAATCTTAGAAAGAAATAGTAATAAAGTACAACCAATTTGTTTGGAATATTATTACTTTAATTTATGTAATTTAATAAATGTATAATAAATATGATTACTTAACCTTGGTATGTTAAATAAAATTGATTATATAAAGTAAATTATTTTCAGTTTCAGAATTCATTTGAGATTTCATATAAAACTACATAACAATAATCTGAAATATATTTTTTTTAAATTCATGAGTTTTTGAAAAAATTTAAAATATTATGTATATGTGTTGTATACATCAATTTACAAACCACGGGAAATTTTTAAACAACTAACAATTTTTTAAATTTATTTATTAGTAATACATTTGTAGGTCAGATAATTTATTTTTTGTTCTTAATGAGAAGTTGTATGCTTATTGATGGAATGATTGTGTTAACTTCTCGGGGACGAGATAACGTCAAAAATCAAGCCGCCGAACCGAGAATCGAATATGCCGAGCGTTGCTCTATCACTAAGCTACCCGACCGCATAGACCTATATGACGCTATCACCCCCCAGTCAACGGGAGTTTAAAATTGATAGTTATTTTGGTTAGAGTTTTTTGTAGTACCTACTCCATATATAATTGCAGGGCTTATCAATTTCGTATTAATTAAAATTTTATTTTATTTTTATTATTTAGTGAAATTTTTGATCGGAGTTGTTGTCTTAATTTCTAAGTCTGAGGTTTAAATATTTGAACTATAAAAAACAAAAAAAAAAAAAATGAAAGAGGTCTGTGACTCCCGCAGTAAATGTCATTTAGGCGAAAACAAAATGTAGCTCACTTGTTTGAAAAGGTTGGTGACCCTTGATCTAGGTAATGCGTACATTAATTACAAGTTTAATATTACTATGTACTGAATGCAATACACTTGCTTTCCGATGTTTTGCAGCTTCATTAAATTGGAAATAAATAGGATGACCCTTAACTCATAAGATATATTTATGAACGATTAATCGGTGAGTGGTAACCCCAATCACGATGTCTAAGGCCTGGATTTAAATGCCCTTTAGAGTACCTTATTAATAATTTAGCAAAAACCTAATATTTTATAACAGAAAAAAACTAAAAGTTGTAACCTTTCAGTCGGGTTAACGACTTATTTGTACCCATGAACCGAGGGGAACAGCTGGTGCCTAGGAGCCGTGTGACACATAACACAAGTGGATGGTGTGAGACGGAATCCGTAGGCTTTATTAGGGGAAGATAGGTAATAATAATAAACGGAGAGTATACAAAAATTAAAATGTTGACAGTATAATATGAGAATGAGATTTTTATTGTAACTGAAAAGAAAGAGAAAAGATAAAAAACAAAAATAATATTTAGTTTGACATGTGGTTGTGTTGTATCTCGGCTCCGGTTGCGGATTACCGGACAATTCGTTATAATAAAAATGTAGAACGTGAGGTTGTGTTATATCTCGACTCCCATTTTGGTATACCTGACAATATTAATAATTACAATTAAGAACATGATATTGTGCTATATTGCGGCTCCCGTTGCGGGTTACCGGACAAAGAGACTATTACTTATATCAGTGTTCTTTAACCGCTGGGTCGTGTGACCTTTAAAATAAAAATTAAATTTATAAAACTATACAAGGTAAAAAAATATTTTTTTAATTATTTAACTTAGAAAATTAATAAATGAAAATACAGTTTAAAAAAGCTTGTAGTGTATTATGTATCAACAATTTATATAATTTATTCTATACTGTGGCGTACATTCAATCTTGTTCTGAGGGGGGGGATTACCAAAAATAATCGTTATATTTTTTTTCGTTGCACAGATAAATAAGATAAATAACTGCTATAAATAGATATTATTTTATACGACTTTTTTACCAATTTACAGTTTACTTTTACATTACAGTAAATTAATAGCTGTTGGAATATAAAAACAGCATAATTAACAAAATTTTTCAAACATCTATCAATATAATTATTTAATTATCATAGTATTTGTATAGTTGTATATTTTAAGTTCAAAGCGTAATAATGAAACTACGAATATATTACACGTCATCAATAATAAAACAATTTTATTTTTTATTTTTTTTCGGCCCTGGGGAGGTTTGAACTCGGACTCCCTCATTTATGTGAAGTTTTTGGCAACTAAAAATTAATAATAATTAATTAGGTTCTCAAATAAAAAATATTTATATAGCTTTATAAAACATCATACATCATTTAAATTTATTAATAAATAAACTACAAAAATATTTTTTGGTTTGCTATTTTAGAATAATAGTACAGATTTTCAAACTGTTAAAAAGAAACCAGTTAAACGAAGTACAGATCAACTTGATGAATTTATATCATTAGTCTGTAAACGTTTATGCGAACCGGAAAGTGAAGAATTACAAATAGCTAAAACTTGGGCTAATGAATTATTAAAAATGAATAAATCTCAACAAATAATAGGCAATAAGCAATAAGGGCATTTTCCCCCTCCCCTCCCCCGATAATTTTTTTGATACCATAATGCAAATTAATTGTTCAGCTTAAATTATGTAAATTATAAATATTTTTAATTTTCACTAATTATAATCGTGTTTGATATCACTTATCAATGTAATATAAAATATCAATATTCAACCAAATTGGGATTAGGAGTGATGGTCACATATAGTTATTATTTTATGTGGTTATATGCTTTAGCATCATGCATGGTTAAGGCCAAACATGGGTGAAGAACGCTTGGTTGGGTTAGCTTTGCTTAATATCCATAGACACAGAACAGTTGAAGTTGACGAAGTTATTGATTTATTTGTTGGCAGTAAAAAAAAAAAATTCAGATTTTGTTATATGATTCATTTTTTAAGTATTTAGTAATAATTTATAATACAGTTTCAGATTATATTATAACCATAAAAAATTGTACAGTTAATTTATGTCCTCCCTCTCCCAAAAATCTTTCACATGTACGCCACTGGTTATAATATGTAGCTTACTTTTATATAGTTTCGAAGACAATATATTATAGCTTCACAAGTATCAATCACAATGTTTCCAATGGATTGAGAAGATATCGCACTGATAAATTTCAGGTCCTCGAATGTGTTTCGGGTAGCCAAATAACGTAAAGTAATAGACAGTCTTTGACTTGCTGGTATAGCTTCTCGCATTGACGTATTTTATTTTTTAATTAATGGATTAACTTAAGTTAAAATTTCATTGAAACATTCACATTCTTTCTTAAAAAAATTTTGAAATCAATTATTTCAAAATTGCGCAACTGTTAATATACCGTGAGTATAATATTGTCTATTTTTCAACCACTCTTTTGACCAAGTTCTTTGATGTTTTTTTTTCATCAAGTGACAAGGCAAGAGCAATAGCAATAATCGCGTTCTCTTCGCTAGACATTTTGACCGAAACTGAACAATATATTAAATATTATTAATCGTGTGTGTACAAAAAATTTTTAAACATTTATTGATGTAAATATTGAGCAATAATATTGATCGTGTATGGGCTACTTTAGTCGCGTTATTATTCTAGTCGTGCTTACGGTAAATAGCTTTGAAATCATTGCTCATTTCATTTCGGTGTACCCTGAACAATGTATTATTTTAACATAATTGTAAGTGTAGATAGGTGCGGCACAAATGCAAATCGGAATAACTAATTATCTTTTTCATGAATACAAATATAATCATCTTTTTTCTTTTTTTTTAAAAAAAAAAAATTGGCTTTATGTGAATAATTACAATCTATACAGTAGTACAATAAGTAATATTAATAATTTACAGACATTAACATTTAATTGCGCGTGAAGAGGGAGTCACACATTTGTAATACTTCGCGATAGTATTATTCATTTGTTGGTTCTTAAGTTTTGAAATCACGGCACCATTTAAAATCATCTTTAAATAATACTTATGTTCAACTCGAAACAAACTAAGGGTGCTAACTGATGTGCCCCAATTATCATCAGTACACCCAGTGGCGCACGCAGTGGTGGGGTTTAAGGGGTTTTACCCCCCCCCAAATTTTCTCCAAGCTCTAGGTTAAAATTTACAAATTTTATAAGTTTGAAATATGAAGAGCTATTATTGAATACCTAGTAACATTGATTATAGAATAGTCTATTCTATTATCAATGCTATTATTTAAGTCAAATCCTTTACATATTTGACTGTGGAATGTGTTATATTTTTACCTTAACCCCCCCCCCCCCCCCGAAAAAATCCTGTGTTGCGCCACTGAATACACCTCTTGCGCGAATGCGAACGGTGAAAAAACCGTAGACGCGCGTCAAACGCAACATTCGCAGAGACTGGTTTACGATTGGTGCACCGGCGAGATAAAAAAAAAAAAAGTACGCGGGTTGTCCGAATCCACGACGATAAGGCAATATAAGCACAGAATAGATCAGCGATTCCAGTGTGTTCCGCGGAACCTAAGGGTTCCGTGAGACAATCTTGAGGGTTCCGCGAGATGTATCTGAATATTGAGAACAGTAATTGTAGTTAACATTAATCATAAACTATTTATAAAACATTTTTTTTAGATTATTGGTTTTTCAACAATAAAAATAAATGTAAATACAAATAATTACAAATTTTGTGTTAATTTGGAACTAGAGACGTCGGGGTTTCACGATATCTATCCACGTTCATCTATTCAGAACTATAAGTGCCCTAGCGACGGACGAGTTGCGTTACGACGGCGGCGAACCCGTGGAAGAAAAGACCGAGTATGCGGAAATCGTCGAGTTTGACAAAGTCGGGAAACCGTCGCGTCCGCGTTATCAGTTTTTTCATGGCGAAAGCCGAAAAGTTTCAGTAATCCGTCAACGGACGCACCACGACCCGTTATCGATACGGCAACGATGCCCGTTGGTGGTGGCACAGATTATATTCATATAATCTGGGTTGGTGGAACAGGCGGGGACAGACGCGATCGTCCGATTCGAAGTTCTTACGTTCACTAGAAATAGCAAATACCAAGCGCACTAGAACCTTCTAGATTAGTCTGTATCACACGCACGCGCATTTTCTTGTACGCACGCGCAAACGTTCGGTCGAGTTCGCCATAACCTCTCAAATTCCCGACTCCGCAGTCCATACGATTCTGATACTCCGTACGGCGACTGTGTTCCGATTGCGGACTTTCCGTACGGTTTTTTTTCGTTTTTTCCTCCATTGTATTCATCGTCGTTTAATTTTTTTTTTCCTCTCGCGCGCACCCAAAGCATTACACCTCACAGGCCGGATCACATTTCGTTCGGTCGATCGATGCTGTTCGGAAAATAATGCCGTTTGCTGATCGTCGAGATCGTAACAGGTCCAAGTTGAGCGATCGTATCCGCGGAAGATCTACGGACGAGATTTTAGAGGAGATCCAGAGAGAATTCGGCAACAACAGTGGGAATAGCATGTTTTTCGACCCTTCTGATTCTAGGACTTCTCCTCAAAGGGTATGTACCACCAACTAAACGAGTTGTGTTAATGCTATTATTGTCTGGGTCAACATCGATTAACCATGCTTTTACTTATTAAATGTTTTGATTTTTTTTTTCGATTTCCTACGTACGATGTTTACGATTTTTGAAGGTCAGATTATCGTAAGATTAAAGTTTAGATCGGTCACTATTATCTACACTTGTATAGATAAGTGAATGTCTTAAATTAAATTGAATAATTAATATGTAGGTATTAGGTATGATTAATGTATTGAATAGAGTTTGGATGTTTATGCGCTTAAAATTACTGTAATACCTATGTATACATTTGTTCACTAAAAATTTACCTAATATGCATTCAAAGTTTGTCAAAAAAACATAAAATATGCAGAGTATAATATATGTTACTTTTTATATTTCATATGTTTATAATATTAATAAGTAAATACCAATTTATAAGTTGATCATTATACTGTGATACAATAATTTTTTTAATTTGATCAAACTTGGATCTAAAAATATTTGAGACAAACACTATTATACGGGTCGATAATTTATCATTTATCTGTCCATTAATTTAAATTGTTTTTAAAAAAGTTCGAAAATATACTGAAATATAAATTTATAATCTTAAAATCCTAAAAATATGCATTTAAAATATAAAACATAGAATATGCAAAATATAAATAGTATGATTTGATCAATATATATATATGCAATTTTATAAATAACCGAACTTAGTAATAAATAATTCTAATAAATTTAATTTTTATCAAAAATATATCATGATTTCAAAATTCTTCTAATTATTTTATAATAGCATGCCATAATCTATTCATGTTTCTAACATTTAATGTTGGTTGTAGTTACTAAAAAATAGTATTTTTATTCTATTATTTTAATACTTCACCATTTTTTTTTGTATACAATCAAGTAAATAGTATAGGTGACTTGTTTTCTATACAAATTATTGATACTATAATAATTTATTAATATAAACAGACCAACTGCAAGTCCTGTATTAGATCACTTCTATCTTAATAACTAAGTTAACTCTTAATAAATAATGTAAAGTATGGCATTTTATTAGTTTTATAGGTTTTTAACTTCGTTCAAATTGTATACTTTGAACATGCCTATTTCATTTATAAAAGTATAAAGCTAAGTAGAAACAATATTTAGTTTTATTCTTTTTCCTATTTTTATATTTATATAGGAGTTACATTATTGATTTAAATAACTTGTTAAGTAATGCTATTTTCAGCACTTAATTTCCATGTAGTTTCTTTTTATAATATTTTTTGACATTTTTATATTTTATTTCATTTGCATTAATACACATGTACTGCTAGCCAATAGAAATAATTTATTTTACCCTGTTAAGGACCTATTTTTAATTAGGTTATGGTTTATTTGGCACTCAAGAATCTAGCATTCCACATTGATGAATATTCTAGAGCAGTTGGTGTGGCTATCGCCTACATGATTCATGCCCACTCACTTATTATGATGGTTTTTAATCTGTTATAAATAAATACATAGTCACTGTTGTTTTGTAAGAAGTTTGTTACTATTCTCCAATATATTGCCACTTAATACTAATTTTAAAAGCTATTTAATGACTAAGGTATTTTATTTTTAATCAATTTATTAGTTTTTGTTGTGTGATAAATTTTTTTTTTTTGTGTGTTTCTTCAGTGAGTAACAAATATTTTGCTGTTTTTGGATGTTATGGAAGCGGCCAAAATTAATTCTGTCATTTATCCTTTACCGCCCTCTTGTACTAATACATTGGTAAGTTTTAAATTTGTTATGTGTATATATATATATATATGTGTGTATATATATATATACTTTTATACTTTTTGAAACAGTTAATATTAATAGTATAACTATTATAAATAAAGAAAAGTTCATTTTTAATTTAGTCAAACCAAAACATAATTACCAATATTTCTATTTTTTTCTAATTATAGAACAATTGCCTTTAAATAGCTATTGTGAACTTAATTTTAACTACTATAGACTAACCTTCTTATATATATTTTGTTGATGTATACTTATTTTTTTAAAGCTATAATTATTGTCCAATTTAAATGCATAACTATTATTTAATTTAATGCCTTTACTTATGTTTTGATAAAAATAAAATTCCCTAATTTTTTTGTTACATTTTTATTATTATGTTCAGTAGACTTTTGATAATCCAACAAATGTCAGACCAGAAGACTTTTAATGGAATTTCACATAAAAAGACAATTTTACTTATTGAAAACCTTAATTTATTTTATTATAACTTATAAATCAGGGGTCGCCAACCAGAATGGTCGATCTTTTTTGGAATATAGGTCGATTGTTGTAAAATTTAATTTTACCACTGTCGGTAGATCATGTAATATAATCGGATTAATCAGTATATTAGATTATTATTATTATGAAAAAAAACAATAAATAATTATTCTTTGGTGTTTAGATCTCTTTTTTTTTCTTCCTTATCAAACAAATCTCCAAAAACCTAAACTCTCCTGGATGTTGATCACCTGGGACTTGAATGTCAAATGTAGCTCACTTGTTTGAAAAGGTTGGCAACCCCTGTTATAAATAATACTTACATACAGACTAGTTTATAACATAATGTGAATTTATTCTTTTGAGATTTAAAATATAATTATCAATTTATTTTTATTTTTTGATTCAAATTATGCTATCAAGACAAAATTTTAAGATAAAATACTACCAAATTATTTAATAGTTGGGTTACCAATTGTCTACTGTATTTTCTAATTTAAATGTATTAATATTTAAATTTTTTTTAATTATAATACTTACTAATCAACAGAATTTCCTTTACAACTTTAGAAAATTTCAGTATGTTTACACTGTACCTTAAATGATTTGGGATAAAAATTTAAATAACTGTTCAATTTTATTAGTATGGTAGTAGTAGTACAACAGAAGTCAAATTATAAAATATTGTAATCTTTTTCATGGTTTTAAACAATACAATTTTCAAATTTTCACAATATTTTTGTTCCATATTTTATCTTTCTTTTTTTCAATACTATGTTTTTTTAAGGCATATTTCGAAAAATTGTATATAAAACTAACTTAATTTTTACAAAGTTTTCCTTTCAAAACTTAAAGCATTCCTGTCTGGAAGTTTAATCTAATAAATGTCTGAACAATTGTTTTTAATCTATTGTAATGAAAATAATATAGTTTTTAATAAAAATTAAAATGTCAGAGTTATTAATATTTAAAAATGGAGGCAAAGCAGTAACTTAGGAGTTCCTATATTTTTATATTACTAAATTTAAGTTCTGTATGTACACTTTTAACGTACATTAATAATGAGTATAACGTTTATAGAAGAAATAAACAAGGAAAACAGGTATGTATTTTGTTAATTTTTTTTCTTCATTAATTAATTATAAAAAAAATAAGGATTATTGTTATAATATTAAATAATATAACAAAACTTCTCATATTTTACAAATATAATAATACTGCAAGCTAAGCATTTATTTTAAATATTTCCGATTATTACTCATTTGCTAATTTTTAATTTTTATTTAATTTATTATTATTTATTATTATTATAAATGGTATTGATTATTTTGTAATTTATAATACTATAGAATTTGCCATAACTTATCTTTAAATTGATTTATCATGCATAAATTATACTTTAGAATAATGTATTCACAGTATTATTTATTATTAATGTATTCGGAGACTTAGGAACATATCAAATAAACAAATTTATTCTATAATTATTTATAAAGTCTTGCAGGTTTTACTAATAACTATTATTTTTTATTTTTTTTAATGGTTCTAATATTTCCTGATTTGTTCTCGCATAAGATAAAGTTTAATTAATTTTTTACTTATGAGTATTTAATGTAACTAAATTATTTTAACTTGTAGTTATTCAACCAAATGTATTAATTCATTAGTGATCTAAGAAAATAAAAATAATTAACTTAACGACAAGTTTAAATATTGTTAAGCTTAACATTAAATTATTTTAAATATCATGTTATTCATTTAATATGTTTTAAAAAAATTTTTTTTATAAAATATTCATTTGTACTATAATTTTTTCAATGAAATTTTTATTGAATATGGAAGTTATAAATACAATGTTACAATACAATGTTTTTAAGTGTACCTATAGCAAGTTCGTGTTTATTTTAGATATAAAAAAAAAAAAAATGATTAATATAATTTTCATTATACTTTTAAAATAAGCATCTACATTTTTACAGTGACATTTTATATTGAAAGCGCATACTTTAAATTTGCACATTAATGTCAAAGTTAAAAATGTTAATTTTCTTGTGTAATATTATTTTATTTACATTTTACTATAAAACTTAGTTAAAATATCATCTCTCTATCTATAAAAAATTCAGATTAATTTAAGTTAATATTGAAATAAAAAATGTTTTTAAAATTTGGTTTTCTATTCGGACATTTTATAAATTATTATTAATTTAATTGTAATTTGTTGTAAAATGAAATGGATGAATAATGGTGTTAATATTTGTTATTTATGTATATTGATTGATGATTTTACTTGTGTTTACCAAATGTATTTCAAAATATATTATGTTCATTACAACCCTTTTTTTGAATGTTTATCATAATATGATAATCAATTTTATAACATGTCAATAATATATCTATAAATGTCTGCTATTTGAATAATAACTAGGTGTTAAATAAGATAAGTAGTATTAAGTAGCTAGGGAAATGGCATGTTTCCGCGTTTTTAAATTCCATCCTTCTATAATTTTTTAAATAAGTAAGTGGTACAGCTAAGTTTCTATTACCTTGTGTCATTTTTGTTTCCTAAATTTATCATATATATATATATTTAACTTAGTAATATTAATTAGTCCAATTTAAATGGACTAAGTTGATTTTATTTAATTTTATTCATTATCAATTAAAAATGTATTATTTTATGTATTTGTATTACTAAAATTAAATGTATAAGGATTTGATAAATTATCGTTTTAATTAAATAATTGTTCTGAAACTAAAAGCAAGTCGTCGATAATAATGATATAATGTAGATGATAATCAATTAGGTAACAATTATTTTTAAAATATAACAATTCAAACAGTGATAATAACAGTATTAATGCTGTCTTTAAATGTGTAATAAAATGCACGGTTTTTGTATCCAACTACATTTAATTGAATTTAGTGAATAATTATAGTTATCCTAACTTAATATCTTAATTATTGTTCTACTGCTTCAGTAGACACTGTGTGTAATGGATTTTTGTTTTTTTATTTTTAGCAACAAATTATTGGCCTGGGTCCCAGTATAGTAACTTGGCTGCTTCTATTTCATATAATCCCGCGACACCACTTGTTTTGTAATGTAACTATTGGTGATACTAATGTTTCCAAATTGTGATACTATTATATCCCAGTAAAATGTACTTATTTTATCATTAAATAGTTATTATTTATTATCAATAATATATTTATTTTCAGATATAATGATTTGTTAATAATTCATATTTTCTTATTTACATGATACACTTGCATACTATATTAATTTGTTGAAATTCTTTAGTCATAGTCAAGAATTCGTCTTTGTTTTGTACCGAATCCAGTATGATTTAGGACGGTTATAATAATGCCATAATATTCTGTGGAATAAATAATAGTATAAAGATATATATATTTTTTTATCTTTTAGATGAATGTATACTTTTTTATAAATAAATATAATGTACAGTTGTATAGACTGCCGTGGCCATAGTAATTTAAACTGATCTTCATGGTCTTCTCTCCCACACACACACACTTATTACCACAATATAATAAAAAAAAAACATTCTTGAGTATACAGCTAGTAAGAATAAAAAATGTATGTCAACAGTTTTTTAATTATATTTGATGATTATTTTTTACAAGTTATTTATTTACGTATAATATTCTAGCACTTAGAATATTTTTTAAAATTACTCATGTTTATAATAAAATTAAAGTTGTTTGTATATTTAGCTTATAAATTACTATATATATAAAAAATAAATAAAAAATTCTTGATTTTTCTATTTTGGCCGTTTTTATTCATTAGTGATCCATATTATGAGTATAATTGTACAAAAATGTATTTCCTAAATTTACTTTGTATTTTTTAGGAAGAGTTTCCATTTGATGATGATATGCTTAGAGGTCATTTGAGTGTCCGTTCACATTTAGAAGATTTAGCCAAAAGGCATCCAGATCTTGCTGGACATTTGCGTTGCCCACCTTGGGGAGGCGAACCTAGCACAAGAGGTTGGAGTCGTAAACGTACTGTATCGGGAGAAGATAATAAATCTGAGGAACCATCAGATCTCAACCATAACCACACTGACACACTCACTGAGTCTAGTCCGGATAAAAAACCATTTGAAGAAAACATGGATAAAGAACAGCAGCCTCCGTTTGAAAACAATTCAAGATCTCAAGAAAATGATGATAAACCACAACGATTTGTTTCAAAATTAGAATTTACTCCAGTTAATTTGACTAATCAATCTGAAAATGTTCAACAATCAGCTCAGCCACAATCTGAACATTCTCAACCTAAAGAACCACATAATGATACATCTACATTTTCACAAGGAAATCAAAAACAGCCTAATGTGCGACACATTCCGATTTATGTGGAAGGCCGTTCAGAACCAGTGTATCCGAAGAATGTTGACCAAATATTCAGTGAAAATAATGGTTCAGCCTTGCCAAAAAGAGCTTCTGGTAAACAAACCCCATTTGCTCAATACCATTCCTTCCATGACCAAAATACTGCACAACGTCGTCAAACACCTCCTTCTCAACAACGCCAGCAAACTCCTCCACAACATCAACATATTCCTCCAAATGAAACCAGATCAACCCCTCCTCCTCCACCACGCCAACAAGTGAAACCAGTAGATGCTTTGGAAAAAGTTCAAAATGTCCAAGCAGAAGTAGAAGAATTAGCAGTTACTGTTAATAAATTCTCTGGTTCTTCTCGTACTGATAAACAATATATTTACCTGGATGAAATGCTTACAAGAAATTTGATTAAGTTAGATACTATTGAAACAGAAGGTAAATATTTTTCATATCAATATTGATAAGATAGTGTTATACACCAGTAAGTGACTAGGAAAGAAGATATAACTTTTTGCTATCCGGCTATATTGGGATATTAGGTATGAATGACAATAAATTTATTTCAAACCCAGTTCTAGAATAAATGTATTTTCGGTCTTGTAATGCTTTTCAGTATATTTCTTTTCATTTTTTGCTAAAAAAAACTATTTTCTTATTGAAAATTATTAAATTGTTTTTTATTTATATTTATTGAAAGATAATAAAATCCTAAAATTAGCATATCAAATTGACTTGCTAAATTGCATTAACTGCTTCTAGCATTAAGATTATCGTTAAGGAGTTAAATATGTTCTATATATTGAAGCCTTGAAGTGAAAATTCAAATTTTCAAAAAAAAAAAACAATGCTTGTCTCTCTCGAACTATATATCTACAAACAACTGGATGTGTTATTTTATTTTTTTTATTTTTTGATTCAACTTAAGGATTCAACATTACTACTTTACCCTAGATTTTAAAAGAAACTTAATAATCTATAAGTTGTAATTTAAATTAACTTCTAACATTTTTTTTTTATTTGGGAGCATTGTCTAATCCTTGTACCAATTATTTATGATTGCCTAGTTAACTAACTTTTTAGTGGTTAATAGATATGATCTTATCATAATTTGTTATAGTAATGCATAATTAACTTTTATATTACAGGAAGAGATGATGTACGTATGGCTAGGAAAAAAGCTATCAAAACTATTCAGGATACAATTTCTATTTTAGAAAATAAAGTTCCTCAGCCCCAAGAAGAATCAATGGAAGTAGATCAGTCAACTGATGATGTAACAGAAGTTGCTCCATCCGAAGACAAGTCTTCAGAAACTGAAAAAGTAGAAAACAATAATTGAACATTAATGAATCATTCACCATTAAATTATTTTTAGAAAAATGGCTTTTGAATAGAATTCTTATTAAATTGAACTAAGTATTTTAAATTTATTGTTCCCATATTTTTTTAAACATTTATGAAACCCATTCTTACCAGTGTGTTGAAAAAACTAAATATTGGTTAAAAAAAACTGATATTCTTTTAGAATTTGAGCTAAACAAATTTAGCAGCTTCTGTTGATTTAAAATTTTTCTATAGAAATAATTCTGTGTGAAGACTGGTTACACTGAAAATTAATATGCTTTATGTATTCACAGTATTTTCATTATTTATATAATATCTATTTTTTGTAGTAGATTTAATCATATTTTTCATAATACATGTTACAAAAGTTTTTATTTATATATTATCTTTAAAAATAATAATAATAATAATAATAATAAAAAAAAAAGATTGTATAGAATTAATTTGTGTCTTCTACATACATATTTTTAAGATTGTAATGTGATTGAATTAAAATCACAGTGTCAATGATTTATTTTAATTTATTAACCAAAAATAATGTGATAGAATGTAATCAAAAGCAGACTTGATTTAGTTATCAACCATTTGTTAAGAATTTTAAGACCTATTAAATCTATGGATATCAAATTTTTTGCCTAAAATATATTTTGAACACCACATTTTATGTTTTATATTATATATATATATATAATATATTTTACTATTATGTAAGTCTTGTATAAAAAGCAATATAATAACAATTTAAATTGATTATGTTGATGTAATTATTAAATAATTTCAAAGTTATTTTACCATTTTATTAGTGTTAGACTGTTTTTATTTTATCATACTGATTATGCTAGAATATTACATTAACTATTTGCTATCAAGACTAGAAATGATGCTAAAAGTATCCAAAACTTATTAAAGCATTACATTATATATTGTGTTTAAGTATATTTGTAAAAAATAAAAATCCAATTTTTTTTTTTTAATGACATATTGCAGTTAGTTGAAAAATTCAGTTAACAAAATTGCTATACATTTCTGTGTGCATATTAATAATTTATTATTTGTTTTATTCTCAGTCCGTGGTGTGTTCATACAACATTTTATTTATACCTATAACATTTTATTTCCAGAGGAAATGTAATACAAAATACATTTCTTTTATTCATGTTACTCCATCTGCATTTCATATTTAATCTTTGAATTCCTATTGTTAATTTAAAATATTTTAAAGGATTATTTTAATTTTAATGAATCTGATGAATTGATTGAAAAATCTGAATAAAATAACTGTAGATCTGAAATAGTATTTATATTGCTATGCAATTAAAACTTGAGCGAAATGCATGTACATTGTATATGTCTTAGATTCTCAATTTGCTTCTTAATTTCAATTGAGTTAACAATGTTAAAACAAGTTAAAAATGTTTGTGGACTAGTCTTAAACTAATTGCATGTATGCATACAACCATTTCTGGAGAATGGCTAATATGTAATATATACTAATAAAACATTGAATTAATTATAATGATTGAATAAATAATTTTTATTATAAATACAGTTAATAAATTTTATAGTAATTAAATTTTAATATTTACTGTGTCTTATTTTAAACTATGATAAAGTTTGGTTGCCTATGTAAGAATATGCCTGATGAGTAGGGCCTGGATTTCAATGCAAAGTGCATATTTTGTTGGTTAATCATACACAATGCTCTCTATGAACATAATTCGTTTTATGTAACGAAGGCTTCAAAACTACAAATTTTATTTTGCATTTTTTTCCATATTTCGACGTTTTTTCGTTTTTAGAGCATTTTTAGTATTATTGGGTCATTTTATTGGTTTTTTATGCATATTTGTTCGATTTACTAAACAAATTTAGCCTATTCAAAATAAAATCAAAAGAAAAATTTTTTTTTTGATATTTAAGTAGGTTTATCAGGTTTTTCCATACACATTGTCAATCTTTATTTTTCTGTTCAGTTTTTATCTTATTATTGACTATGGAACGTCACCAGTATTAGGTCAAATAACAAATTAACTTTAGTTCGTATTACCTCGCAGACTTTGCTCGTATTACGTGTGAATGTGATTTTAATGTTTTAAATTTTATGTTGAATAATGCCCAAAAGAAAAAAATATTTCATTTTTTCATTTTTAAGTTAATTTTTGTGGTAAAATACATTTTTTAAGGACATTTTCGGCTATTTTTTAGAGCATTTTTGTATGGTTTTATGTGCATTTAAATCCGGGCCCTACTGATGAGTAAAATAATTTTTAATTAGTGAACAAGGTTGCTCCCCTAGAAAATTGGGTCAACAATGTAAGTACTTATGAAAGTAGTTAAGTTACCTATTGCTATTCAGGATAGAAGGTCTTTTTTGTGCAAACGTGAATTAGTGCATAATTATTGTAATACATTTTAAAATCATAATCAACTTAGGCATAATCACAATTATCGCAATTAATTTCAAAAGTGTAAAAATTGATTTTTTTAGTAATTATTGTTCTATGACGGATTATTTTAAGAATAGCCTATATCAAATGAAAATTTTTATTTGTACTATAATACTCATTGTATAAGTGAATAAAAACTGTAAAAACTATCCACTTTTTATTTGGTACCCCCGACCAAGACTTCCGGGACAAGTGCCTCGGATGGCTGGCTCTGGTGATATGCATATTTAAGCTAAATAAGTTCAAGTAAAGGAGTGTCAGAAACTATTAGTCGCTGGGCCCATAAAAGTTGTCAACGGCACTGTGCGTGCGGATAATAAATTTGATCTCTAAAAAAAAAATAAAGGTAGTAGGCAAACGAAGTCCCGGCAAAAAAAAATTATACAATATATCTAATAATCTTTATGTGAAGTAAAATTTTATAATTTTAATATAAATTGTATGCCTAGATCAATAAGTCAATTTAATTTTTATTATTATAATTAAATTAATATCTATGTGTACATTTTTATAATATATTCTTTGGGTAAAAACAAACGATAGGTATACAACAAACGCAAATCTGGTTGTCGTATTATTTGAGTATTTTGTTATTTGTTCTCTTAAATGTCGAATATCGATTAATGCGTAGGGTGATTGTAGCCTTAGGCCCTCGTCCCACTAGGGCGACGCGACGTTGACGCGATTTAAGAAAATAGTTGCCAAGTAAAATATCGTACGACCTGACGTCAAGAGTTCTCCACACTATAGGCGATGTTTTGGAAACAAGAGTTGCTCAGTAGTTAGTAGCAATCATGTCGTCTTTTGAAGATGACGAATATTGTATTCTGTTATATTGGTATTGACACCGAAGAAAAAAAGAAAATATTCGATACATCCATACATACAAAATAATATTAATTGTTGAATTTTTGTTGCCGCTAATGATTTAATGCAAGACGATGTAAAATTTCAATCTTTTTATCGCATGAAGAAAGAAAGTTTTAATTTGTAGCAAAAGTGGGACTGGCTATTGAAAAACAAGACACATTTCCGTTGTTGTTTATGTGTGCGTGAAATATTAATGATAACATGAGGTATGATTCTTAATTTACTTATTAACACTTTAAAAACATACAAATAATAATAACCAAAACACGGGAGAATATGAGCGAAGAAAGAATGAAGAGGTGATAAGATGTTAGAGGATTCGGACATAATAGCTACTATGAAAAGCAAAAGGATAAGCTTGGCAGGGCATATATGGCGAGGCCGAGAGCAGACAATTGGTCAAGTCACCTACTGGAAGCCGAAGAGCAAAAGACCACTCGGCCGCCCAAGACAAAGATGGGTAGATAGGGTCCATAAAGACTTGGATATGGTGGGAATCTTGAACGGCGAAGAGCTCGCCACGGATAGAGATAGATGGAGGGAAGTGGTGGTTGCGGCGAAGGACCTGAACGGTCTATATTAAGACAAGAGAAAAAACAAATAGTAATAATATAGAAATAGAAAATAAAATGAATTATAACAAATTATTTTTATGAACTATGTATTTTGATGCAATAGGTATTACTCGTAGTAGGTAATGTTCTTTTAGCCCATGTTCAGCAAATTATCCATTATATTTTTTTTCGTTTTGGTTGCACATTTGTGAGTTAACTTCTTCTGGAGAGTGGATGGGCGTGAAACTGTTGTTTGGGTGATTATATGTATATAATGACTAGAGCAGTGAAGTTATTGCATTAAATTTTATTAAAAATTTCACTTATAAATTTAAAAATTGCATTGAAAAAATTTAATTATAATCAATAAAATCAAATATATTAATACATAGTAAAAATAAAAATTAAATATGAATATTGCTTATGTTATTGAATTGCAATACAAATGATTTTTTTAAGTTTTCAAAATCGAATGATCGTCCGTTATCGCACAACAAATTTTGATGTCGGAGAAACTTCTTTTTACGTCAGTACTTGTTATTAGGGCGTACTTGAAGCAGATTAAATCGTTGCTGGTCAACTTTCCTGGCAAGCCCTCCATTGACTGTTTTTCTCCACTTATAATTTTTGATATACGAACAATTATTTGATATCCTTTATTTATTTGTTTTATAATTTTGAATTTCTGGTTTATTAATATCTACAAATCTAATATATACGAATATTACGAAAAATAGTTAAAATTGCAGTAAAATTAAAAAAATCGCCAAAATTGCATTTATTATAATACAATTTTTTTTTTGTTTAAAATAAAAGTTTAATGAAATATATTTTAAGCACACTCAGCAATAAATATAAACATTTATAAAAAACATGCAAATGTAACAACTTCACTGCCCCAATAATGACGAACCAGATAAATAAGAAAATGCAGTGTTAGGATGAGACGTAATTGGAGTGTTTGAAGTTGGTGTTGGATTTTCTGTTAAAATGTCATCAACCACCTCCAATACTTTTTTTTTAAACATTCTCATCTGTTTATCAGTCATGATGTTAATATCAGGTAATAAACTAAGAAGAAACATTTTTCTTGGATCTTCTCCACACATTTTCGTCTTCTTCAGTTTCATAAAATCAATAAAACTTTGATCAACTTGACTAACTTCACTCTTTCGTTTCTTATTGGTGCCTTTTATTTGTTTTTCAGGACTATGACCTTTTTCATGGTTTTCATTTGTAATTTTGTCACTTAAGTTCTGCTCTTGTTGAGTGAGATCTTCATCTTGGTCTTCAGTGTCGCTTTGTTTATTATTTTCTGATTCGTGATCTGGGGTGGGTGAAGAAAGATTTCTTGAAGTAGTCAAATCAGTACTAGGTTTTACATATGGTAATAGGAATTGTAAATGTTCATTTAAATAATACGGCTTTTTTGATTTTCTAGCAGATCCACTAGGTGTTGGTTTATTATTTCTGACAAAGACAGTTCTTAAGTTTTTCCATTTTTCTTTACAGAATGTAACTAAAATATAAAATAAAAAAAAATTATTTATTTTTATACTTAAAGAGGAAATTTATAAACTGAAAATTAATCAAAACTATTATATAGGTACTTGGCAACAGGATATACTTATTCTAGCCTAGAATTTTATTTTGCTCGAGGTGCTAACACAATAAGTCAAATAATTTCGGAAACTACAAAAAAAATATGGGAATGTTTAGTTGATGAATACATGCCAATACCAACTGAAGAACAATGGATGCGTATAGCTCATCAGTATTATAGATTATGGAATTTACCAAACTGTGTAGGGGCTATAGATGGAAAACAAATAGGAATACAAAAAGTTCCTAATACAGGGTCGACAAATTTAAATTATAAAACATACCATTCAATTGTTTTAATGGCTTGCAGTGATGCTGAAGGAAATTTCATCATATTAGAAACTGGTTTCGCAGGTAGAAATAGTGATGGGGATATTTTTCGAGCATCTAAAATGGGTCATTGGCTTGAAAGAGATGGTTTAAATTTGCCAAACCCAAGACCATTGCCTAATGACCCTGAGATTTGTTTTCCATTTTATTTTGTAGCCGACGAAGCATTCCCTTTGAAAAAAAAATTTAATGAGACCAAAACCCAAGGAGAACATTAACAAATAAAAAACGAATATTTAACTACAGACTCAGTAGAGGTAGAAAAACTGTGGTGTTCGTTTGGCATGATGTCGCAAAAATTTCAAGTATTGATGTCATCAATACGATGCACCAACGAAACTACCACTAACAATATAATACGATCAGTATGTATCCTCCACAATTTCATACGTAAAAGGGAAGGCCGGCAGTACATACCTTCCATTGATTTGGATGTAATTAATCCAGAAGGCGTCCAAGTACCCAACGAGTTTCTCAGGGACAACCAAGATCAAAATGAGTTGCTGAGAACACAAACAGCGAGTGGTCTGAGAGAATATTTGTCTTCATATTTTGTTAAACTTTATGCATCACTGCCATGGCAGTAGAATAACTGTGTATAGTTTTTAATATTACGGTATAAATAAATTATTAAATAAATTAATATGTTAATAAAATTGTCCATATTATCTATAATGATAATAGTAATATAAACTTTTAAATAATGTAATAAATAATATAATCTATCCGGAACAGGATCATGTCGGCTAAGTTGAAATCGAATGCGAATTGCTCGCCGAGTATTAATCGCAGAACCAGCATTATGGATATATTCCTCTACGTCAAACGCTCACCGTGCCACGCCATTATGATTACTGAAAATGGCACGTAGACCTCTATCTATCTATACACGGAATACCATTTTATCTATAAATAGTTTTAAATATAAACGTCTAATAAAACGAAACTGATAATAACATCAATGTTCATACTCTGAAATTATATAGAATTCTATAATCAGAATTTCTAACTTGGTTTATATTCGATCTTTTCTACTTTGTTCATAAATAAAATGTTCTATTTTTGAAATATTCGGAGTATTCCTGAGTATTTCCCGCATATTTAAATTATTTTGTTATAGACAAAAATGGTAATGTGAACGATATGACAGTTTGTATTATAATTTTTTTTTTGTGGTAAAATTTAAACGTCTAAAAATACGAGAGGTTTTTTTGCCGGCCCTGTATAATAAAATTTATAATCTAATTAGTATAATTTATAGTTTTCTTTTACTCGCAAGTACTAGGTATAATTTCGTAATTTTATTTACGTTTTTTAAAAACAGTATAGTACTAATAATAAAAATACATTAAAAATATTATTACCTGTCTCTTTGACTTCTTCTGCTACCTTTGACCAGGCCTTTTCTGTAATGTCCCTTCTGGCGTATTCTGGTATTTTGAAGTTATACAAACATGGAAATTTTTCTACAGCTTCAACAAGGTTTATAGTTAAGTTTTTTTCTTTTTTTTTTGCCATAGTGATATTTGCCAAATGATATAATTAACTATGTAATTATACCTACTAGTAAAGTATAGTAAGTAATAAAGTAAAATATAGTACAGTTTTAATAATATTATTAAAATAATATATTTGTTTATTATGTTATTGAAGTCATGTGGTTGACTAGAAAACTTTTATCAAGCGACTGACAGTACCAATCGCCCACGATTAGTTGCTTTCGTGTCGCGTCGCAGTCACGTCGCATCGCGTGGGTGGGAGGTCTCCGATATATTATAACCCGTGTTTTATAAAACAAACGATTATCGCACGATATTTATTTATAATCGCGTCGCCCTGGTGTGACGAGGGCCTTACTCTTCCTTTCCCATACGACACACAGAACCAGTGTCGCCGAATGCGTACTTCAGGTAGTTAAATTTAACTACCTAGAAAATTGGAATGTTAAAAAAAATAAAAATGATAGTTAAAATTTTTTTTTTTTTTTTTTTTATGAAATACTCGACACGTATTTTCTATTTAAAATAGAATAGTTAAAAGTTAACTATAACATTTTCAATCGTTGAATATGTTTAAAACAAATGTTCCGGTATTTAAATGGGTGGTGAATTGGTAGGAGCTGATGGATAAATCTAATTATTTGAAGTGACAGTTTCCATTTCATTCGTCGCCATTGAACAGAAAATAAGGCTACATCGCACTATTTTTTTTGTAAATATATTTTAACGCGTATTACTTACGATATGTAAACGAGTTAACAGCCGGGACCCAAATTGCCTAACACCTTCCCCCCCCCCCCCCCCCCCCCCCGTGAGACTCGATTATCGTTTTTAAACGGTACACAAATGATCGTGTAGCCAATTTACCCAGCCGCCCGCGCGTTACCGTACCTGTATCGAGTACGCGTTAGGAGAAATGGTGCTGCGGATCAACTGTTGCAGACACTATGTTGCGCGTGCGTGCACTGTTGGTTGATAAAGATTGACAACCCAATGGGGGCACCGTTGTCAGTCACCATGTTATTTCGTTTTGTTTTTTCCAGGAGCGTCTAAACACAGGAATGCACCTTATGCGTTCTGCGCGTGCGCGTAATTTATTCGCCACTATCATAATGTTAGGCCGTTATCAATATATTATATCAAATCACTATAACATGACAATAATATGAGTTTTGAATGATAGTCATGAATAAATTACGCGCATGCGCAGAACACATAAGGTGCATTCCTGTGTTTAGACGCTTCTGTTTTTCCCGTCTGTTTATCGACTCCCGGCTACCCGTGATATGACGTAGCGGACGGACGGCAACGGCGAACCGAAGAACTTTGTTTCACTGCCAGCTATTGACGTTTCGAGGACGATTAGCATCTCCCTTTCGGTCTGAACTACCGACATTCTCTTCTCCGTAAGTATTGGACACGATCGCAGTACTAACGAATAACCGTCATACAAATCGTATGCGCAATACCTAACAACGATAATGATCGCCGTTGCGCCACACGTTCACGTGTTTTTCGTTCATTGTTGTTCGTCTGTGTTGCGGTTGTACTCTCTCCGCTTCGAACGGTCGTGACATATCGATACGCAGATCGAAATGCAAGCCGCTACATACCCTGTGTGGGAATGCCAACATCAGGGGCGTATTTAGGGGGGGTGATATGGGTGTTGGAACACCCCCCCCCCCATCAACTGTATTTTATGGTATTTCACCAAATTGCAAACTTAATTACAGTATAATTTAACTAAACGTAGGCATATGTAAATATAATCATTTTCATTTATATAAATACATGGTATTTATAAGTGTAAGAAGTAGGGGGGGGAAGAACCTCCACTTACTATAAGTCTATTCAATTTTAAAACACCCCCGTTAAATGAATCCTGGATACGCCACTGACCAACATCAAAAACAATCGAAACATACCCTTCCCCACACCCTTTTTTTATAAGACCTGTAATGCGCGACCACCATACAGTATACCATCGGCCAACCAATTGTGGAAAACAATGGAATTACTATAATTAAATCTTAAATACACGGAATAAAAACTTAAATTTTTTGGACAGCCTTTCCATGTGCTACGAATAAGATGGACATTACATCTGCAATGTTCTTTTTAAAACTTTAAATGACATTTATTTTAATACTATTAAATATTAATAAACTAATTGTAAGTCTAAAATATCCTGAGTCTAACCTATTCCCGTAAAACTACCCCGTGTATGTATGTATGTATAATATTTTTATACATAGAAACGCATGTAACAACATTTCAGAACAAACCTGTATTAACTATAGAAGTTAAACTATTATATACAATTGAATATATATTTTTACAATGAATGTATGCATTTTAAATAAAAATAAAATATAAGTGTACACATGACTTTTCATCATTATTTAATTTAAATTATTACTCTTATATAATTTAAAGAAGTAAAGCAACTTATTAATTATTTCAGGACTGTTGTTAATGATGGCAGTTGAAAATGAATTGGTTAAAACACATGTACGACCTAGGTGTTTTATGGATGTAGCAGTTGATAATATTCTTTTGGGTCGTATTGTATTTGAACTATTTGATGATTTTTGCCCATTGACTTGTGAAAATTTCCGAGCATTATGTACAGGTGAAAAAGGTTTAGGAAAAAACTCTGGTAAACCTTTACATTATCAAGGTGTTATATTTCATCGTGTTGTTAAGTCATTTATGGTACAGTGTGGAGATTTTTCAAATGGGAATGGTACTGGTGGTGAATCGATATTTGGAGGAACTTTTCCAGGTATGAATGTTCAGTGATGTAAATATTATAAATATTTAATTGCATGTTTTGTTTTGGGTTCAGATGAGAACTTTGATTTAAAACATGACCAACCATTTTTACTTTCAATGGCTAATCGTGGACCAGATACAAATGGTTCACAGTTTTTTATGTAAGTTTAAATAAATTCATATTTTTTTATAATGATATATTACTTGATTTTTAGTGAAATTAACTATCTATTTTGAGTTTGACCTTTTATCAAACATGATATATGTTATATAATTTTAAAACATAGTATCATGTAGTTAAAGATATGACTAATAACTTGAGTATTTATAGTTATAGCTATAGCATTGATTTATTAAATACAATTCATTACATATGGTAAACATTTAACATATATAATTTCTAGTTAATTTGTTTTTAATTTTTAAGGCTTACTAGTACTTAACACTCCTTAAATTTCTTACTATATTATTATTTTATACATAACATAAAATTAAATTAAAAAATTATTAAAATTCAAATTTATTGTTTTACTTATTATTTTATCTAATTTATTATATGCCAACATTTAATTTTGAAATTATCTTTGGTGTTATAACTAATACAAGTATTTTTAATTACAGATTTTCATTTATATGGACAGTGTATATCATAATTTCCAATTATTGTAAATCTATTTAATAAACTTTTTCTAAAATTGTTTCATACTAGCTAATTTTATAAAATAATATAATATTTTTTAAAAAATAAATGTATTATTTCAGTTAGATTTAAATTACTAAAATATCAGTGAAAAGAGTATTATTAATTTATAGTTCGATCACACCAAAAATAAAATAGATGTTTACTAATGTAATTTTGATTTTGTAATTTTAAATCGTGTTGATGGGATCAGTGTATCAGAATAGCCTAATAAAATTTTGGTCGTATGTCATTGTTTGTTGTAGAACAACACAACCAACTCCTCACTTAGATGGGTAAGTAAAATATTTGTGAACTAAAATTGTTGTTTCAATGTATTTATGAGCCTTCTTTTTTATAGTGTACATGTGGTATTTGGAAGAGTGGTATCTGGTCAACCTGTTGTTATGCAGATTGAAGAACTTGGTGTGGATAAGAATTCGCGGCCACTTCAGGATGCAAAAGTAGTAAAATGTGGAGAGCTTGTATTAAAGTCTAAAATTAAACGTAAGTGAGATAATTAAAAAAAAAAAAAATTATTTCACTTTTGTTATAATGATTTTATATATTTTTGTATAAAAGAGTTAGAAAAAAGTGCATCAGATAGTGAAACAAGTTCAGGGTCAGATAATGATAAAAAACGGAGACGGAAAAAAAAGAAGGAAAAAGAATCTAAAAAAAAAAGTGGAAAGAAGTAAGCTTCAAAAATGAATATTATATTTATAATGCATTCTCTTTATTTAAATAAATTAAATTTGTTCTAGATTGGACCGCTCAAAAAATGAAAATGAAATTGCTGAATCTGAAGGTCAGTTGCACCCACTTGTATCTGTTTCTAATATTGACCCAGAAGAAATACCAGCTGGTCCTCCAAATAGATTTTTGTCACGAGGAGGTCCTTCATCTATGTTTTTAATGAAACCTAAAAGTGACACTGATGATAAGCCAAAAAAACGAAACAGAATTCGTGGTGTTACAAAATCTGGCCGTGTAGTAAAAGGTCGTGGGAATCTTAGATTTCGAACTCCATCCCGTAGTAGGTCAAGAAGTTATACTCCACCTCATTGGAGATTAGAACAAAAAAAATTGATCACATTTAACGAATTTGAAGTAAGTAAAAATTAAAATTAAAAATTTAAAAAAATTATTTAATTTTCCTTTAGAAAATTGAGACTGAACGTAAACAAAGAGAAGAAGAAATAAAAAGGCGCGAAGAGGCCAGAAAATTAAGACATGAAGAAAAAGAAAAGCATGAGAAAGGTAAAGATGGACAAACACCTCCAGGAACCCCACCTAAGGTATATGAATTTATTTTGCCTGAAATTTTTTATTAATGTTTGTTTAAAAATAAATATTATTGGTTTAGATTTTCAATAAACAAAATGTTAAATCAGAAATTGATATGATGGCTAAAATTGAAGATGTATTTCAAATTATTCGTGATCGCAATTTAAAAAATACTTCAGAAAATTATGATGATAAAATAATAGATCAACGTTCCAATGATTATAATAAGAAAAAAAGAAATGACGACCGAGAAAAATTTCAAAAACTTGAGAAAAAATTTGATAAACGTTCAAGAAGCCGCTCACCAAAACGTCGGTATGATGACCGGTCTCGACGAGATAGAAGCCAAAGAGATGGAAACAGATACTATAAGAAAGATAGGTACAATAACAGACCAATAACACAAGGAGGTAATAGAAATCGTTCCAGAGATAAAGAACATTATAACAAAAAAAAGAAGGATAACCGGAGAATAAGTTCTGGTTCTCCTGATAATCATAAAAATAAAAGCAAAGTTAAGAATGGTAATAGTTTTAGTTTGTCACCTGAAGTAAAAGATTAAATTATCAATTATGTTCACTGTTCTTTTATAATAATCTTAAATAATTCATGGGCTTTAAACTTTTTATCTGTATTTTATTTTTATATTGTTAAGTAATTTATGTTATTTTAAATTCTAAACTTAAAAATGATCCATTAGAATTATTGAATGTTTATTAAAGCCTTGCAATTAGTTTTAAAAAAAAATATTCTCACAATATTGTAATAAATAAAATCACATCGACTTGTTTAAAAAATAATTTAAGAACTATTTTATGATGATGAAAATTAAAATAAAATGTAAATGTTTTTCAAGTTGTTTTGAGTAATATGTGATTATATTTTATGGTAAAGCGCATCTCTTTGGATACTGTTTTACCATAGAAATAGGTAATTTGATTGACTGGATATTTTTTTATTGTGTATATGAGTTTTGTCATAGGCAATGTTTTTGGTTTAACATTGAATTGAGTAAAATAGTTATAAACACAAGCTTTAATAATGTGAATATTTTAATTATTTTAAAATAAATTAAAAAAAGAAAAAAGTACAACATTTATTAGTAACCAATATTTGCTGTAGAAAAAACTGGTTCTATTTTATTGCCATAGTTACTTGTACCACAATTATTGTTTCCAGTATTAATAACTTGGCTAGGTAGATTACTTGGTGCGAAATTTGTAAAAGAATTCAAATCTGGAGAACCATAATCACTGTTGGTGATTATTGCTGGTATGTAGTTTGGTCCATCTGGCTGATTGTGCTGATTCCCAGGTGTAGAACTTGAAAATCCATTCAAACCTAGTGCTCCAAAATCACCATTGTTGGTTTTTACTGGAGTGTCATATACCCAATTTTGTTGATTTCCTGGTGCGAAATTTGAAAAAGCGTTTTGTCCTGGTGAACTAAAATCATCATTGTTGGTTATTGCTGGAGAATTATTTGCTTTATTCGGTTTATTGGGTTGGTTCACTGGTGAAAAATTTGAAAATGCGTTTTGACCAGGTGAACCAAAATCACCATTGTTGGTAGTTGTTGGAGTATCATTTGTTCCATGCGGTTGATTTTCTGGTGCAAAGTTTGAAAATGCGTTTTGACCTGGTAAACCAAAACTGCTAATGTTGGTTATCGCTGGAGTGTTATTTGTCCAGTTCGGTTGGTTCTCAGGTGCAAAATTTGAAAAAGCGTTTGTACCTGGTGAGCCAAAATCACCATTATTGGTTGTTGCAGGAGTATCACTTGTTACATTCGGTCGATTGAGTTGATTTCCTGGTGCAAAATTTGAAAATGCATTTGGACCAGGTAATCCAAAACCACTATTGTTGGATGTTACTGGAATGTCATTTTCTCCACTCAATTGGCTCCCAGGTGCAAAATTTGAAAATGCGTTTGGACTAGGTGAA